TACTACTGCGTGGTGCACATTAAAGACCCCAGACTAGCAGTTGTACTGCACTGGCTAAATTGCTCATCTACATCTGAGACATCAGACGTCCATTTGGGCTGACTAACTGCTGGCTGTATAAACATTACACACATCACAATTAATTATTTGCGTGCTTGGGAGAAAAACACACTTTCAAAGTGCGATGATGCGTGCGCGTGCCAGGTGTATTTCGAAAGGAACTAACAGTTTGTGAATGTTGAAATCTACACTGCAGTAAAATTTTCACAATTAAACTGTGGTTGTTATGCAAGAGAATATGTTAGGCAGAGGTGCCCCAACAACCTGCGTTCATCATTCGAAATTCTTTTTGTGTTTCATTTGAGATTGAAGAAAGAATATTTGAATATAGCAAGGTTTGTAAATTCACTCAATTAGGTATAGCTGGGCACTTCCAAAGACTTCCAAAGACTTCCAAAGGTCACAGTCCATAAATATAGTTTGATTAAAATTAGCTTACAAATGGACAAGTGGAAGCTTGGAAACGACCTTCACGAGTTTAGCTGGGTTTTCGTTAAAGCATGGTGCAATAGTGTAAGGCTTGGAGAGAAAGGCGAGAGTGTTAGTTTAGTAGTAGTGGATCAACAAATTAATAACCTGTGTTTAGACCTGCACAAAGTGGGAAATAAAATTGATCAACCCCAATAAAACCAAAGCACTATCAACGCATAGAAGACGGAAGGTGATTTAAATGACTACATTTTTGGTTCCGCTCCTATTTTATGTGTGTCTGTAGTTTGCAACCTTGGTTTTTATTTGTAGAGTAATCTTTCTTTTTCCTACCATGTCTCTCAAATTGCTGGCCCAACTGTAAGATTGCTGGGCACGATTTGCAGTCTGACCCAGGAATTTTCAAATCTATAGTGTATTATTCGCTTATTTTACAGTCTGATTCGTCCCAACTGATGACTTGCAAAATAAAGATATGAAGCACGAGGACGCTTCAAATCAGGAGTTCGGTTGTTCTGAAGCACTAATTAATTAATTAATTAACCCCTTAAGTGCCTTCGACGAGCTAAGCTCGTCGGCCACTTTCTGGCTAAAAATGTCGTGGACGAGCTCAGCTCGTACAGTGGTTTTTTCGGTAGCCCTCAATTCCACGGACGAGCTAGGCCTGTCCATGTAGTTTTACGGCGCTGATCATAGATGGCAGCACTCGTTTTAGTTGGCAAATATTTTTTTTTGCCTCCGCTCATTTTTGCGTAATAAACTTTTCAAATGTTATGTGTAATACTAGAGGAATAACAATTCAAAATAAAAATATATGGCACTTTTAGGTTACTTTTGGAAAAACAAATTTGGCACTTAAGGGGTTAAAGGACACATGCAAAGGAAAAAAAACATTTTTTTGAGACAGCTTAGATGGAAAAAGGATGTCATAAAACAATTTTACAACGAAGAAAAAAAAAATTTTAGAGCTATATTTACGGCGCTATACGAATTTGTAGTTGGCGCTCGCGGGAGCCGCCGCTGGTCACGTGGTAGGCCCGCGCGCCGCCGCGCTGCGTCGTTGCCGCACGCTGAGCGTTGTGCGAACGCCGCTTCAATGCGTTTCTTCATGGCGGTGTTCAGGGGCTACCCAACAGGTGGCGTCCGTGTGTTCTCTCGTCGTAATCACCCAATTCACCCCTGTTGCCCTCACGATTAGACGAGTGTGTCGAAGAATTGCGATGGAATTGTTTATAAATTAACAGATACAAGTTTGTCTGCTTCGGAAAGCCGCCGCCGTCGTCTGGCCGGCGCACAGGTCTATATCTTGTCTGCTTGCGCTTTTTCAGGAGTTTCCTTTGGGCTCTAAAAGTTACTTATTCATCTTAGTTTTTGTTATACTTCAAACAGAGATGAATAAGTTACTTTTAGAGGCCATAGGAAGCTTCCGAAAGAACGCAAGCACCACGTGATAAATAAGGACCAGTCACGTGATAAATACGGACCACATTTCCGCGGTGCCCGCGGGCGCCAGCTACAAATTCGTTTTGCGCCGTAAATATAGCTCTAAAAATTTTTTTTTCTTCGTTGTAAAATCGTTTTATGGCGTCCTTTTTCCATCTAAGCCGTTTTAAAAAAATGTTTTTTTCCTTTGCATGTGTCCTTTAAAGGGACCATGAAATGATTTTAAAATCGAGTTTCATCCACCGCACGTCGTAAAAGGTGTGAAAAGAAACACAAAAACACAAAAATAGGGAGCCCAAAAAAATCATTTGCTATAGAACTTTTAAAAGAAAACTGGACTCTTTTGCGCCTTCCTTCCTTCGCCTGTTCACTACGATGCATACGCAGAATCGGTGCACGTCAGCCGAATCCACATCGCCTATTGGGTAAGAGCCTACCTCACCAGCACCGCGATCGTAAACAATGAATAGCCGGCGAATGTTTCCTAAAAGTTTTGTTAAATAATATTCAGATCCACATTTTGTAGCATAATTAGAGATGTGTGGCGAAAATTGCCAAATTTGATAGGATGGATGGATGGATGAATACGGCTGAGCCCTTTGGATCGGGCGGTAGCTTACGCCACCTAGCCATTTTGTTTTACCATTTAAGCTTAGAATATTTAAATGTGAAATCTATATTCACTCCGCAGTGCAAAGAAAGTGAGGCTATGAAACCCCCTTGCCATCAGTGATTAAGAAAATACCTAGTTTTCTCTCGATTTCTGCCACCATTCACTTAATCTTTGCTTGGTAATCTCTACAGTCTTGAAATCCACTCTCCCTTCGCTGTCTCTAAAACCCAATGACTTTATTAAATCTATGTTGTCTTCGGTAGGCATAGGGTGAAGCCCTTTACAGTAGAGTATCAAGTGCTCAGCCGTCTCGTCCTCCTCTCCACAAGCAGTGCACACTGTATCAATTTCCTGGTACTTCACTCTGTATGTTCTGGTTCGCAGAACACCCGTTCTTGCCTCAAACAGCAATGAGCTTCCCCTAGAATTGTCATAAATGCTTTCTTTGGCAATAACTCTTTTGTTTAATCTATAGCTTTCCAGAGCAGTCTTTGTCTGCATTCCCTCTAGCCACCGATCTCTTTCTGTGGCCTTAACTTTCTTCTTAACTGAGACTTGCTCTTCCGTATCTTCGCTATAGCCCAAAAACCTTCCTCTTAATTTCCTAGTGCGCTGTCTCCACTTTGTGTCTACACTCCTCATGCATGATAATGCTGAGAGCCAAGCGCCATCTATCGTGTGGTAAACGAAGCAACTACTGCGCGTGCGCAGTAGGGCAGGGCCGCCAGTTACTTGGGTGACGGCGACCGACGAACATTTATTTTCTTTGTTTTCCTTCCCCTCAAAACTCTGACTGACTGAACGTTTATTTTTCTACGTGTTCTTCCCGCGCGTGCCGACTTCAAGCAGCAAAAAAACAGTACTTAAAACAGACCACGACGAACAAGAACGCTGGATTCACCGACTCCGACGAAGCGTATAGGCCTAGCAGGCATTCCGACTCGGCGCTGCGTTGCTTCGTCGCAAGACCGTCTGCCTACGACCGGCTGGCGTGCTAAATGGAATATGCCCGCGCGACCCTTGTGGACCCTTCCCGTATTATAGTTTGATCACTGACCTCAATTCTAGATTAAGAGGTGAGGAGGTCAATCTCTTCCCCTTGTTTTCCGAGGCAGTGTTGACGAACACTCGTCGAAAAGGGACTCTCGTCGATTCTATCTTCTTGTTTTGTGTGATATAGAGCTGAAATAAACGCCGTATGGATTGCCTTCGTAACACGGTATGTACACTTTGTTATTGGTATGCCATTTTTATTCTGACAGACTGCACGTGTCGACCCCGGTCCAACCTTTCTTTGCCGAGTGTCGCGTCAGTATCGAGTTGCAATCGTAAAAGAACGGTCCCGAAGCGCTTACCAACAGCGCGAATACAAGACTTCCATCAAGCGCGCGCGTCCGCTCCGAGTGTAAGCAGGTATTTACGTGGCTCTTGCTGACACTCGTAGTTCAAACGTATCTTTTTTAACGTCGGCTCGCTCCTGCATCTCCGAGGCCGCGAAAAACGCCATCTACGTCGCTTTGCAAACGACTGACACGGGCCGGCCCTTCTGCCAACAATGACGGGGTGGTGACAAGACTCGCTGCACTTCCCAACAGGCATACCGGCGTATGGGACTAGTCCCATGCTGTCGCTGTAGCGCAACATATCTCATTGAATTTCGCTCAGCTGCGATGCGGCGATGAGAGGCGCCGATTCAGGAAATACGTCGGTGACATCAGCGCAGTAAAACCTACCGGCGCACCCCAACTCGTTGCCGCTAACACTCCCATTCTCCTACTGCCGAGAGAACTTCCGGTTCCGGAAACGGTCTACGTCACGGCTTCTTTTGCGGTCAGTTGGAGAGAATGAAAAAGTCGATATTTCAATAATTTTTTGTGTAAAAGTTAATAAACCGAGACGAAAACGGATGCCTGTTCGGCATTCAGTGAACATTGACGGTTTAATGTAAAAGTTATCTGGAAAAAGTAAAAAGGTCATTTCATGGTCCCTTTAATAATAAGTATTATCACTATAATAAAACATATGGGGGGTTTATGTTCCAAACCAACGAAGGGTACAGCCTGACCTTTCCAGTCTGCCAAGGAAGCAGCATACAGATTCCCCTTCACTGCTATTCGACAATTCAGCGAGATGATTTGGCCAGTGCCAGGGAAGTATGACTACTAACGCAGAGTGTGCAGTCAGCATCGCCGGAACAACGTCCGTCCAGATTAACGAGCAAGAATCATACGTCTACGGTGGCTTAAAACGCAGAGGCACCAGTTGCGAATTGCTCGCCAGCAAAACAAAAAGGGTCCCAATTCCGGCAGACAGAAATCTCGGCAAGACGTTAGTTCCCAAGCCGTGCACAGCCAGAGGAGAGGGGGGAGAGAGAAGGCGGAAGAGAGCGACTTGCCGTCGAGGCGGGCAGCAGAGAGAGAGGGGGAGGATGCAAAGCGAGGAGGTCATGACCTACCCCACAGGGTTCCCGTCGGGAGAGGAGACCTCTGGCAGGAGACGCCATCTGAGCCACCCGCAGGTACAACCAGGGTTAGAAACGGGCGCCCGCCTGCCGATTGGCACCGTTGGAGACGCATGCACCGACCAAAAAGATTCGGCACGGGCGAGGAACCACCACCCTTGTGGCAGGGGCACAGAAAACCGACGACCCTCGAGGCCGGTTTGCACATTTGCGTCTGAGCACGACTGAGTGCGTCGCAACCACCCACGACGGGCAAACACGCCGCCATTTTTATTGGGTAGACCCGAAACTCTTCTGATCTTTGCGGCAGCAACCACGAAAGTAGTCGAGGGCTTTCGCATGCCGGATAATGTATGAGGCAAATGTTTGCAATAAAGGCTTTTATTATTATTATTATTATTGGTGAGATCAAATCTATGCACCATCTAGGAGGAATGGTTGCCATAATATCATTGGAATTATTTCGAGCAGACTGTGAAAGAACAAGGAGTAAAATGTAGGGAGATTGGCGGTGCTCAGGGGCTACCCAACAGGTGGCGTCCGTGTGTTCTCTCGTCGTAATCACCCAATTCACCCCTGTTGCCCTCACGATTAGACGAGTGTGTCGAAGAATTGCGATGGAATTGTTTACAAATTAACAGATACATGTTCCTGCTACTGGCAGATGCAAGTTGCTGCGACACAGTCGACGACACTCGAGGGGAAATGTGCGAACCAGTCCCGACGCGCACTTTGGTGCATAAAAAGGGATGGCGCCACAGGACTACCACGAGACACAAGGAGAGGCTGTGGTTAGTGCCAAACATGTAAAATTCATAAATGGAAAAAAGAAAAAAAAAAAAGAAGGGCCACAATTTACTTAGAAGTGGAAAAGAAAAAGAGATAGATAGACAGGTTTATAAAGGAAAGAAGAAGACGTTAACCCGAACATCGGTTGGCTACTTTGTACTGGGGACAAGACAAGAGGGAGAGAGGGGAAATTTAAAGGGGCGGTACAATGAATCCCCGACGTTTATAACCTATGAAACCGGCGATAGTTTCCCTTCTCGTGCAAAGATAGTTGGGGAAAAAATTAAATAAAAAAGAGCGGCATTCTCTTTCTCAATTCGCAGCCAGAACAAGAACAGAATGTGGTATGGAGCCAATTATATGCCGCCAATGTTTATCGCAGCCACGTGCTGGGGTTGGCAACGCACAGAACGCACAACGAGTTCCAGACATTGTTAGTGCTAGGCAATTGTCGTCGTTGCAGAGATTGGACACGAGCCACACTCCGAATGCTCGTCGAGCTATTAATTGTCGCGAGCCCAAGTCGAGTGCTTGCGCAATGCTCGGGTCTAATCCACAAGCCGCATTCAGATGTCGCAATGCTCGGGGGATAGGCCAAGACCGCAACCACCGAGCTATGTCGTCAAGTTTTGCGAAGGAGAAATTGAAAGAAAATGCTCGCCTTATCCTTGAAATTAGAATGCAACGAAGTTTCTTGGTCAGTGGCATGGCATGCGAGTATACTTGGGTCCCAATAGTGCCAGTAAGCTCGTGTAAAGTGAAACTTTCTAACTGAATATTGCTGCATTGCCTCTTTAACCCTAGATGCACAAATGACTCGACGGCGCTCCCGAGTCAAAACATTGGCGCGACAGGGAGCAAGAATGAATACTGTAAATGACTTCATTTTTGCGGGCTCAATATTTCACAAATTTTCTACAGTGTGGTTTTGGAGATATTTCGCAGGCACAAAATTCTGCAATTTAGGGTGATATATGCTATGTACTCACTATCATGGGCTTGCGAAAATTAAGTAGTTTACAGTATAGTTACAGAATTAAATATAGTAGAAGTGGCTAGACTGACATAACCCAAAAGCCACAAAAGATATCGTTGTTTTCCACAGGGCTACCCGAAAGGCTCGTTCACACACTTGCGTCGACTGCGTTGCGACATGCTGCATGCTGCCTCCTCATTGGCTTGTCGCAAGAATCGCCGTAGCAACAGCTCGATGCAAGCAGTCTTATTGAGGCAGAACTGGTTGCAGTCACATTCGAACGCAACTGTGTGAACAAGCCTTAAGGAAGGATAACTAAATTTTTACGACAGTTGTTTTACTAGTGCTAGAAATGCTAGGTATATCACCCCTGCATGCGTTCTGTGCGTGCATTACCATTCTTTACACAACCCTGACTAAACTATCTTTGTTATGGTTGCACAGCGCCTTGGCTAATGGCATAGTGACCGTCAGTCAAAAGCAGATGCACAGCCAGAGTTTCAAGAGACCAGACAGCATGGGTTCTCAAACTGGATTCTAAGGAACCATGGGGTTTCCTAGAGTACCCTCAAGAGCTCCCCAGGGTACCCTCAAGAATTCCACAGTGTACCCTCAAGGCTTCCTCAAAGTGCCCTCAAGGCTTCCCCAGAGTACCCTCAAGAGTTTCCAAGGGTTTCCCGGTGTACCCTCAAGGGTCTCCCACAAAGTTCCTCATAATATTCTCAGGGGTTCCCCAGAGTAGCCTCAAGAGTCCCCCACTTACCCCCAGGAGTTCCCCAAGGATCCCCAGAGTACCATAAAAAATTCCCCAGAGTGCACTCGCAAATTTATTAAGGTTCCCCAGGTACCCTCGAGAGTTCCCTAGAGTGCTCGCATGAGCTCCCTCAGCTCCCAATTTTCTCGACTGCTCCCCAACCGTAAGTATTTTTCCAGATTATGCAATATTTTAGGCAGATATGGGCCATCCATTGATGCATAACTATGAGATAACATTCCCTAGTTATAGATTATTAATTAAAAAGGTCCATGGACTTTTTCGCTACTTTATCGTATGAATGCCGAGACCAGGAGGAGTTCCTCGGCTTTCAGACAGGACGCACACAGGTTCCTCAAGATTAAAGCATCTGAGAACCACTGCCATCGAGAGCCAGCACAGAACAATGAGAGAGGGAGAGGGAAGAGGGAGAGGGGAGCACCTGTGAAGGTGTGGCTGGGCTGCGGCAGGACGAGGCTCTGGCTGCGGGTGTGCACGCACAGCCTCAGCATGGCCAGCATGCAGGCAGTCATCACTAGGCTCTGGGCCAGCAGGGGCAGCTCAAACGGGTGGCCGAACCTGGGCACGCACCGGAAGCAGCCTCTGGTTGGTGCACGCCGATTAATGACAGCGACACTACGTTGTGTTTACGAGCTCTATTCGGTCGCAAAAAGCTTTTATAAATAAACCGAGGAACCAAGTGCAACAAAACTTTTATTGAGGGCGTCTACAGGGCATGCATTTATCGTACAGTCGTGCCTCGTCAATACGGACCCCTTATACGAATACCCCATTATATGGACAAAGCTTTCAGGGACGAATTGGGTGACTATGCACATTTTTGTCTCGTATATACAAACAACTCACAGCATGCATAATTTGTTTCGAAGCGGAGGTGTCTGTATTACCGAGACATCGGTGTACTCAAATTCTGCGAGCATAGATTTTAAAGAAAAAAAATCTCTGAGCCTAAAAATGTTTGCTTTTTCCTATGGAAAATGGTAAAAAAATTGTCTGGTTGACGCTGCCACTTGCAGATGACAGAGCATAATGCAAAAACGCGAAAGCTTCTTTGAGACGAACACCTTAAAGGGGCCCTGCAATGACTTTTTTACTAATTTTTAATTTGCACCGAACCTGAGCGCACTGAACGTAGTAACTTAGTGAAACTTTTCTTTTCTCAAAATTCCCTTTATTTTAAAAGTTATAGGCAAATTAAAATTACAAAAACAAGCAAAAAATAACCTCCCTCATGACGTCCTTGGTTGCTTGAGAGTGGCCGTGAACTAGATGAGGGGTAGTGAGCTTATCGAGCACTCACGGCTGCCGCACTCCGAGTCGACGGCGCGAGAGGGCGCCATTGAAGCGTGTTCTGGATAGGCTGTATGCAGCGGGCAGCCACAGCAGCTCTCATTGCATTTGTTGCGCGATTAAATACTAATTCGGCATGACACTTCATTGGCCACAAACGACAGCAAACACGGGGTAAAGATCAGTTCAGAATGGGAGCTACTCTGCGCTGCCATACCGCGAAACGGCCAAACCGCAAGACAAAGCTTCTCGTCGAAGGCCTTCGGAACGCTCGGAGCCGCTCGGATCCTCCTGCCCAAATGACCGAGCGCCGCCGCGTACATCCGTGACCTTCCCGTGTCGGCGCCTGATCCCACTACTCCTTTCTAGTGTGCGCCGCCTTTTCCACCGCTTGGTGGCGGGTATGTCGACGAGTCATTTCTTGTTTCCGTACTTTATGAACTGCATTCGTTTCTTTTTTTATCTAAAATACTGAACAAAAACTACTTTTATAAAAAATTGAAACGGTTCGCGCCACTTATATTTTGTATTTCGACTAAAAAGAAGCTTTTAGCGGCTCTAACCAGTAGTAAGCCCAGGACCAAAGACGTCACATTTTGCGCGCTTTCGGTACCGCGGGTCGCCCTCGTTGGTGGAGGAGGTTTCCGCATCGTCCGGTTAAAATATGACGCACTGATATTAAGTTACTCTCTCCGTGCCCGCTGGTTTGCCTGAACCCCAAGAGACGTGGAAACCGCAAAAAAGGTGGACTCTTAAATATGATTGCAGGGCCCCTTTAAAGCAGATACAGGAGATTCGAGCAAATGTGGTAGCATCAGTGAGCAGCAGTGTCAACCAGTTGGTCTTTACCGTTTTCTTCCCTTTGCATAGGAAAAAAACCAAGAATTTTGGGCTTCAGTTTTTTTTTCTTAAACCCACACTCACGAAACTTGAGTATGATAAATGCACCACCCAAAGACACCTTTCTGAAGCCTTAATGTACTCCATTCATTTTTCTATTTATTCATATCATATTTTTTTCATGCCCGAATACTCTCGGACACGCCTTGTAGGTACACTCGGCTCCTGGACCATACAACAGAGGACATCCAAAGCTATATTCTTTATTTTTTGCGGGAACATTAGCACATCTTCTGGAGCTGCGCGGACATTAGAATGATTTGCAAAGAGAGTTTGCAATTTGATTCGATTTGTACGAAACTTTTGCAATCTAAATTAGTACTAGGAGTCTTTTTAGTATTTAAAAACAATAAGTAATGTCTGCAGAGTTCCCTGATTTCTTGCGCCAAGCACCGGTGCTAAAAGGAGAAGTTCACACTACACCGGCACTCCGGCATTAAATTTCACCGCACGGCGTTTCGGTCACCTTCGCCATGGTACCGGAACAGGTCTTCCTTCAACTGGCGCGTTTAGCCAATGCCGCCTGAAAGACGGAGACTGCAGTTTTTCTCCTCTACCACTGCTGAAAGTGAATCCTCGCAGGACCTCACAACACAGCGACGCCAGGCCGCCTGTGTCTGCCGCTCGGGCAGGTGGATCCACTAACGACGTCGTACGCAGGTCTTAGGACCAACCACGATTTCAGCGGTTAGTCGCAAAGTTTCAGCAACGAAGGAGAGCAAACGAGAGTGTCGCCATCGTCGCATTGTCCCAGCTGCTGGCTGAACGCGTTTCCGAGAACTGTCGGGCAGGAGGGCGACCTACGGTGGAACGGATGTCTGCCACATTCAGCTCCGCCGCAACGTCACCACCAAAATCGTGGCGGGCGATGGAAGGACGCGAGTGTGACGTCCTAGGGCGGAAACCAAGAGACCACAAATGAGGACGCGGTAAATACAGGGCCTCACCAGAACAGGATCCGGAGAGTGTTGGCAACGAGCAGCGCCAGGCACACGAAGGGCGAGAAGCCTTCGGCATTGTTGGTCCGCCGGATCTCCCGGTATTGCGGGACGTAGGGCACCACCCCGCCGAATATGATGGCCGTGGACGCCCCCCACGACACTAGCTGGGCGGGGCTCACCGCACCCTCCTCTGCCAGCTCCAGCCAGGTGGACATCTCTCGAGCGTCAGGCCGGGGACGCCCACTGGCCTCTGTACAGATGCCGCCACCTCGTCAACGTCACACGTGAGCAATTTGTACCTGCAAATTACGGCGCACAAAAGCAGATGCACAGTTGCGCGGGAATGCAAAAAGAGACACTCACGCAGCGCCAACTAGCAACTTAAGACTGCTTGAGTGTCTTCCTGTTTGTGTGCCTGCGAAATGCCGTGTCTGCTTTTGCGCAATGTAATTCGGAGGTATCAACGACAAACTCGATTAAACTGCGGTCTTAACAAGCTGCCTGCTTTGCCTTCGCAAGGATGCTCCGACCGGTTGGAAACTAACCAGCGAGAAAACACGTTCTCGACTACAGTCGCCGACAGAAGTGAAAATGACAGGGTGTCTCTCGAATGCCCGGCCTTCAGAATGCTCTAAATGCCTTTTGACGTGCTTTGGCCGTGCATGCATGCTCAAGGTGCTTGAGAAGCCGAAGTGTTATCGAAAGTAGAAAGCTCGCATTGGAGGTCAGACAACTGAAGCTCCTCCCTGCCGCTCTCAACTTTTCAGTGACTACGCGACGAGAAACTAAGGGAGAGTAGGGGACAAGAGTGCACGGGGACATCAGGACGCCAAGCTGAGGTTGGAAGGATTAGTGGCTTGTACATGCCTTTGTACATGCTCACTTCTAATGCGCTGGACTGTCAAACACCAGTGTACAACGTTCCGCGTTCGAACAGTTTCAAAGAGTGAATAGACACAAACACCGGTGTTACGAATTCGAAGAGTGAGTAGAGGCAAAGGAGACTAGCTTTACATCTCCCCACTAATCAGTCCAGTAAGAGCTCGGTGTTCTGACGTCCCCGCGCGCCTTTCTCTCCTGCTCTTCCTCAGTTCCTCGGAGCATGGCTTGTCATAAGCTCTCCAGCTTACTGTCACTTTGGCTAGACTAATTTCCTCTGCTCCACTACGCTCAACCTCTACCAATAACATACCTGCAGAGATGCGACGTCATGTATTCTTTAAACATGGGACTGGGCCCAGCCTTTTTTTTTTTTTTTTAGGTAAACTCTTAAAGAATAGATGACCCAGTCTCAGAGACTAACAAGCTAGCTCTCTTGACCAACCGGAGTGCGGTTCAGTTATTGATGATCTCGCGGCGACTATTTTTGTTATTTCACCATCGACTGCACGGGTGCATGGAAACATCAATTTAGGCCAGGGGCTGCACAAATTTCATCCTTGGAGATTTAAGATGCAAGTTAGGCCTTGGAAAATATGTAACTAAAAACATACTTTCCTACTTTTTTGTAAGACTATAGTTATGTAGGAGGAACTCTCTCTCCCCCTTATGTGCACTAATTTGATTACACACCGTAAAGCGACTAAACCAAGCCGCTGGTAATGTTCAGAACTTGGTGCTTTAGTTAAGTACCACCAGGTGACATGCCAACAATCATTAGCCAGACTGATGTGTGAGACATATACTGGTGAGGTTAGGTCTGGAAATCAGCAATGACAAATTGGCAACCATGATTTTTACTGTGAGACATGGTTCAAGATACAATATCATATGGTCGAGAGAGTGGATAAGCAGGAATATTCAGATGTATGAATTCATGAGGGTATTCAGATGTATGAATTCACAAGGGCACAAGTCCCCTTAGTGAACCTAAAAATGAAGTATAACTTATAAAAACAACAAAAATGCAGATGAAACAAAAGGCACTGGCGACCATAGCTGCGCACTTTCCGGGTAAGAGCATGCTCAAATAAAGCTTTCACTAAATTTGTTTCGCACCCTCAAAGATTCTGCTCATGGCAAACGATAAGTGCAGTTCTATGTGTGAAATCGGACACTCAAGCAAGGTTAGGAATAAAGCGGTGCAGGGGGTAAACAAACTGAATCCCGGACAAAAGCTCATTCATCTTTTCACAGACCCGGACAAAAGCTCACCAGGAAAAAATTTCATGTTGGTCTTAACACGTGTGCGGGCAACTTACGTGCATGCGTGCGACACTAAAATGCAACGATAAATTAAATCTGACAGGTGCATGGTTTGTTGCTTAGAGTAGAAACAAGTTTATTTATTGATTGGCTAGAAGCGAATGCAGTCCCCCACTAGGTCCAGCAGTCATGGTAGATCTGGGTGTACTTGTAATCCCTCGAAAATATTTTTCACATGATTCTGCAGGCGCAGAGTGGTCTTTCGCACCCGCTTCTCTGGGGGTTCACCTCTGCGGGCTTGTGCCAATGTCGTGGCAACGAACACCGGATTTTCCTGTGGGCATTCAATCAGCATCCAGACGCTTAGATGGGCGTGGCCAAAAAGCTTCTGGAACCCGGTGTTCCATCCTTCGCAGCTGTATGTCCGGCCTTTATCTTGATGAGTGGCATCGTACATATTCCACCATTTCGGGGGAAACTCCGGTCGTCATCGGCAAATAGTCAGCCAAAGGGAAGAATTCGCACTGAGTGCCACCGCAGAAGGAGCAGAGGCATAACGGAAGGGGCCGTTGACATACGTGCAATCGAAGTCGTCCAGCAGGTCGCCGCTGTCACCGGTAGACTTTTCCCTGATGTAGGTAAGTCATTCGGGTACAAGCTTTGGTGGAAGGAACGCGAGCCTGTCCGAAATCCCGCACAGCTTTCTAAATTGGTCATATATACAAAAAGGCCACACTCCCATTCATTGATAATATTTTTAAAACTTCGCAACTCAATAGTTTGTATCTTACAGTTTTGCTTCAGTTTTCTTTTTACAACACCCTGAGATAATCCTTAATTTCAAATACATTTACGACGCTCAATGACGAAATGAATTTAATTTTCCCAGCCATTTGCTTTAAATATTGACCTGAACCCCAAGAAAATCCATGCATTAGTAATGAAGAGACATTGTGCCTAACCTTTATGTGCGCGTTTAGCATGACATAAGCACAAAGAAAAAGCGAGGTCGACAAAGGGTGACTTCACTTCTTTGGTCACTCTTTGGGTTCAAAAACTTCGGTTCACGAAGTTTCAGGGGCGTGGCACAAGGGTGCTCCGGCATACCTTGAGTCAAGCAAGCCTGATCTTATCAGCTCCCCTCAGTTTTAGTGACCTAAATTTTAGACCCAAATCGTTGCTTCTGTGCCTGTTATGTCTTATCTGCAACAAATTTGCATGGGATGGGATGCCAGTTCTCCTAAAAATGGTGCAATGTCCATCGCATCCAAACTTTATCTCAGCACATATTTCGTCCGGGGTAGCAAAAAAAATAAAAAATAAAATGAGGTGAGTTTTTGTCTGGGTCTGTGTAAAAAACGGGTGAGCTTTTGTCTGGTAAGATGTTTTGAGAAATGTCTCAAATAATGTTTCTCAAGGTGCTATAGTACTTTCCAATTGACAACTTGGCCCTTAAATGCTTACCTAGAAAGTTAGCTAATTAGTCTTAATTACCTATCAATTAGACTCAATAAAAAAAAATAATGTCACTTTTGCAAAATGCAAACAAGAACATACAGTTGGTTTAAGCCACTTCAGGCTCCGAGGAAAGGCGCCAGCTTATAGATTCAAGAAGGAGGGTTTGAATCCCGGCCAAAGTGCCCACAATTTGACAGAGGATTATTGTGGAGAAGGCGCCGTGCACCCGAGCTCTTGGTTGCACAACAAAACATACTGGTCAAAATTAGCAAGTCTTAGAATAGCGTATGCGAAAAGTAATGTCGTCGTCAATGCACATGTGCCAAGCCCAAACCGTGTTTCAAATTGGCATATGGCGACAACGTTATTTCTTTGCAGTACGCTGTTCTAGAACTCAATATTAATCCTCAGTCCCCTGCTGGGGCGTGCCAGATGCCCATTGTTGGTTTGGTACGTAAAATCGCCAAATTTAACTTCATTCGTGTAGTGCAAAGGTTCTCAAACTTTTTTTGTCCCACGAAACCCCAGGAAGCCTCAAAAATTGCTGTGGAACCCCCCCCTCCCACCATATTTGCCGACCGAGAAGCGACATAAGTAGTACAATTGAGGCAATTTTGCTTGTATTGCTTCTCATATATCCCCACCATATCAATTGTGATGTCAGTACAAAGTGAGATAAAGGTGCTTCGCAGGATCCTGCTGTGCAGCCCGCAGCAGGGGGGGGGGGGGGGGGGGGGGGGGTGCAATTTGGGTATTCGCAGAATTCATGAGACCAGCTCGCGGAACCCAGTTTGAGAAACTCTTGGTGTAGTGCATTATATCTTTTCTTTGAGCTTGGTGCAAGTTTTTTTCCAGAAAACCCTGTACACGTGATTGAAATTGAATAGGTGGTGCAAGTTGTCACCCAACATAAATAGTTCTGCTACCCTGTTGAATTAACCTGAGACTGGGGTAGAGAAGAAACATCAAAACGTGGAAGGGAAAGAAAATAGACAGGACGACGTCTTGCAGGTTAATTCAACATGGTTAATATTCACCAGCTCGCCTGCACCCTTAGGATTTTTTCTATCAGTATAGCTACATCCAGCCATCCCTCAGGGACAACACCCTGATCATGTAGCAGCTCCTTGACTCTCTTCAGTCAAGGGGCTGGGCCAATGCTAACTAGAAGACAGGTCCTGCACATGACATCATTGTTACTGGATCTCCAACCCACTCAACATGTTAAAGCTCAACGAGTACACCGTCTGGCATCGCCGCAGGCTGCAGTCGGATACAAGTTAAGGATTTGTCAAACAAACTGCACCACATACCGGCCACGGCATCGAAATGCTCCGCAAACCATAGAGAAAGGCAGTAGTTCTGACGAGATATGTGACGTGGTGGCACGTGGAAGAGAAAGACGGCAGTCTAGTGGACACGATGGGGGAGCCCTTGACTAGTCGGCCTGTTTAGAGAAAAGTACATTTTTTTCTGCGTTCAGCCCGTCTTGTCCTTCTTGCGAGTGAGCATTATGGATCGAGCCCCACAAATGTCGGCGAGATGTGTGCCTTGGCGGCAAACTATTTGCACCTTGCGGAGGAACATTGACTTGCAGTAATTAGGGTGTGGGAGGAGCTTGAGGCACATTTTCAACTTGTGTTTGACTACGGCCCTGCGCTCGTTGCGAGATGCCGCAAGATGTGCTGGTGGCGACACGGAGGTAAGCCAGGTGGCACTGCATGGATCCACTAATGACGACGTATATGGGGGGAAGGCGCAGGTCTTCTGGGTGCTATTGGCTGGGCACTAGGATTGTAATCCCGCGAGAAAAAAACTGGACGTCAAGCGTCTAGGCAGTGTGACGTCGGTCTGCCTTTGAGATCGGCGACACTGGTTTGCGCTATAGATGAGAAATCGAGCCAGTGCCGTACGACCGCCAGCTTGGGTTGTTTATGTGCATCGAGTGGTAGTGATTACGCGAACGCTCGCCAGTACGATGCTCATTCAGGGTGAAATGGGCAGGGATCGAACTCAGAATCCCTCCAAGGCCATATGCTCCTAGCTGCAGTGCGAGAATGTGTCACAGAGATCAGCGACCTACACAGAGAACCTACGCCTGCCACCTTTCGGACAACAATAAACTGCGCTAAAAAGAAAAGGAATAAAAAAAAAAAGAAAGTAATGTGATAGTGTTGGTGTAAAAGACCGCTCAGATTCATTGAAGATGAGCAGTCTTTATTCAAGCTGTGCCATCCATGCACACTTGTTGTCTGCAACTCACACCTGCCAGAACGCAAACGCCTGATCAAAAGCAGATAACCGTGCAACACGCGTCCGATTCGTTCAAGTGTCGGGAATGTGCTACGTTGCGAAGTTGAGATTTCGACATCTTGATGGGTTTGTAACTCTGAGGCGCCTGGCATTTCGTCCACAAAATCGACAGCAATGTAAAGGTGACTGCATGTTGAGATACGTGACAGGGTTGTAAGTGATCACGTAAGTCGGGCTCCGAAATAAATCGGACAACGTTCCCACAAATGTTCGAAGTGCGAATCAACAACTTAACTGCAAAGGTGACGAAAAATAAAAAAAAAAAAAAAAAAAAAATTGGCATTGACGATTTAGGTGTTGACGAAGCGATCCTGTGAAGGGGAGGTCAGTGTCACAGCATGCTCAACACACTCGACGTTGTGCGTCAGAAAGAAAGGGGACTTGTATCTTCGCGATGATTCACAAGTTTTCACGTGTGACGCACACGTCTGAACCATCAGGCAGCACATCGAGCGACGGCAAAGTATGACAGCTGTTCCCTGCGAGTGGGTGCCGACTTACTTACAGCCTCGACTTGATCGGAGATCCCCACAACCGCATCAAACCACGTTCCATACGTTGGCACGAAGATCTTCCCGAAGGAAAACGTCGGGACCACTGTGTTGAGGACGTCGTGATTCTGCGGACTGCTGGCACTGCTGGCTGCTGTTGCTGCCGCTGCTGCTGTGGGGAACAACACGGGATTCACGCCAGAGTTGACGGTTGACGGCTTTCAAGAAAGGCGGAAGACGGCGCAAAGTCCCAAAACGCTCTCACAGGCGTCGCCAGCGTCGCGCGTCACCGCATCGCTTTCCGCTTCCGTCCACACGTCGCTCTGTCGGTGGCGTCGCCGGACTCTGCGTCGGGTCATCGTTGTCGTTGTGGGAAGTCGTCTCAAGAAGATTCGTAGTGCCTTTTGCCACCGTGTCATGTCCACTGTAGTCGTGTCTGGAATGCACAGCAGTCCGATTGCTGTTGTGAATGAATTTAATGCGTGTGACTCCTCAACCGAAGTCGTGTGGTCGGTGTGGTCCTCTCTGGCCAATATCACGTCCGCGTGTGTGATTAATGGGCTTGAAGTCCGAAAGTGTTTACTGTGACCAAGGTAGTTGTGACGCAAGGTGATGTGACCCGCTGGTTGCTGGAGTGATATCTGTCTTGGGCATCTTTGTGTCGATACAGCGCGCGCCTGGTGACAGTGGCACAGGGGCAATCGCGTGTCAACGTCACGGGACAAGACAGTGTCCGCTACCTCGAAGGAAAAGTTGTCAGCGGTGCCAGCCATCCCCGAACAACAATCGTCAGCGCCCATCATGATGATCGAGAAAAGAGGTGATAGGGTTCAGAAGCTCTCTATATTCTATACTTTACCTGAAACTATGCTCGTGCTTGCCTCCCGTTTCAGCTTGCGCTAAAAGAGAAGGAAAAAAAACAGGCCGTTCAGTTGGTGTACTGTGTCTCAGATCACGGAGACGTATCTTGCCGTTAAAAAATCGTTTATTCTGAGGACAACGTTCCGACACACTTGTGAACGACGAAAATAATCCCTGGAGAAGGGGAACAAGAGGGATTATTTTCGTCATTCTTGTCCAGCTCGCTTGCACCTTTGCATTTAATTGCATTATAATCATAACACTTGTGAACCTCCTGACTAAGTCGGCAACAATTCAGATTTCTTTTTTGCCATGTTAGCTGCCTACCACAGAGTGTGCAGCCTCGCATTTAGCTAGCACATCAGAATGGATACCTCCAAAATGATTAATTTGGAGGTTTACTTTTTCAACCACTTAAAGATGTTCGGAGAATGTTTCTGAGATCGCCTAAATAGGGCGAAAACTGCTGGCTCTAAGCATCCTAGAAATCCCTAAATTATGACAATACGTCGCCTATTTCCCTGTTAAAAAAGCAATCAAAGATTGCAACAGACTGAGGTCATCTCCAGTGATGAAAGGAGCATGTTCCAAGCTAGAACCGCTGTTGGCCAATAGCAAGCGAAGGAGCCTCCGACCGAGCGATATCTCAAATGCGCTCGGCTCGTTGCCCATACAGTAGGTGTGACAATTGCTCGCTTCGTCCAGAGGGAGAATATGGCAAGGATGTTCAGCATGCAGCGTGTGGGGAACAGGAAGTATGCATACCTTTACGTCCGGGGATTGGCGCTCAAAGGGGAATCCGATGCCCGTCCCACCGCGCAGCCGATGGCTTCCAGATGCCGCACTGGGTTCGTCGAACGCCATGCCAACAGCAATGATCCCAATATCCAGCAGCGTTTATTGAGTACCAGGGGTCCCCAACAGGACACTGCGGTCAAGCGAGCCGTGGACACCGTGTGCCCGCAGCGCCCGCCGACCTGAGAGCCAATGGGGTAATTGTGAGCGAAGTCATCGCCGGTGGTCTGAGCTCACGCCGCTACCCCTCGTCACAGGAGTTCGGGGCCAGGGCTCTTGGCAGACGGACATCCACTAGGGAGAGAGGACACCGACTGTCAGAGTAAGGGAAAACGCTAGCGTTGAATCATCGCCGGTCGGACGAGCTCGTACGCCACGACTCGACCTGTCGCCCGGAGTCCAATGCAGGACTCCCCGACCAAACCGCCATCCACTCGGAGGGCAGGCCCGACTCTCCCGTGCGATCTCCCTCGTCTCCGAAAATGGGAGACGCGCAAAGGAGTGCGAAAGAGTAGGCCAGCATGTTGACATACTCTCCCCGACAAAATACGGAGCGACCAGTCTCGAAGTCGGACGGCTTCGCCCGGAATGTCCGCAGCTTACGTCTGTTGGGGGAGGGAAACCAGTGGCTCCCACAAGCATTAGCATCGATATGCCCACAGCAGCGCCGCAACGGCACTCCACCGTGCTGTGAACACTAAAGAAGAAAATGTCTTCACTCTAACTCACAATCGTGAAGTGCCGCTCAATGAATTCTTAGCCATAACGAAATTGGGCACGGCACTTTGAGTTCGATGCAATGAAGACAAACTGCAGTGAAGCTATTGTGGGCTTCTGAAGCTCCTCAATGTGCTTCTTTTACCTTCTATTTCTTGCAGTGCAGGGTGGCGCTGCTATCCACTTACCAATGACTCTCTGCCCTGCTATAACCCACCACGGCTCTGCATGCTGAATCCCTAAGTCGCTTTCGCAAGCGTGATTATCGGAGCTTCCTTCTAGCCCACCATAACCCGGACTATGATTTAACCCAGCAAGCGTGCGCTCGGGAGTTGACGATCGGACACCACTCCTACAGAAGACAAAAAACAACATTGTGCGCCGTTTTTGAGACGATTATTGCAGTATTTCTCTTTGTGTAATATTAGCATTTTTTGACTACCATAAAGTTCCGAGAGAACGCCCCCGCCCGAAACCTCGCCCACCCACCTTTTTGGACGAAATATATATTTTAATAAAGTTCCCAAACATCGCCCACCCCCTAAAAATCGCAGTAGCTTCGACGCATTCGAAAGCCCGGGAAGCCCCCGCCGCGAACATACCTCTGGAAAAACCGATGACTCGTCCGCAAACACCGCCAGTGACCCGATTTCTAACAAAAGAGAAGATCTTTTCCGGTTAGATTGATAAGATAAGGGCGAACTAGAAGTGAATCATTCAAGACGTCCGGGTACAAAGGAAAAGAAGAAACAGCTCAAGCAAACAAACTCCACACTAGTAGACAGTCATTCCTCTGCGTGCCCCGCAGCTGTTCACCTGCCCTCGCTTCCAGCATCGACCATGAGGAATAGCTACACCATCCAGAGAAAGGTGGAAGTTGTCCAGTGGCACAAGAAGAATGGAGACAACGTAAGCAAAACTGCAAGACATTTTGAGCTGGACAGGAAACGTGTTCGCGAATGGAGCGCCAACTACCAGTCCCTTCTGCAGCAGTGCCACGGCAAAAACAAATTCAAGAGAGCCATCAACAACGGACGGCCGGTCTTCAGCGAAGAGCTCGATGAAGCACTCATGGACTTCTTGGATACCGAGCGGGCGGCGGGGCGAGCGGTGAGCAACCGCGTCCTTCAAGAGCACGCACGCAAGTTGGCGGTTCAGATGAACCTGGGCAACTTCGAAGCTTCGAACCACTACCTGGCCCGCTGGAAAGCCCGCTTCAATGTGTCGATGCGAGTGGGGACGAACGAGAGTCAGAAGCTGCCGGCTGACTACGCTGACGCAATCTCCGTCTTCCGGAGGGCTGTGGGAAGCCTGCGCCTGGAGCACAGTTACTCCAACTTTAGTATAGCCAACATGGACCAAACCATGGTACGCATGGACTGCCCAGCCAAGCGGACAAACAACGTTGCCGGCGAATCAAGCATCCGCATCGTGAACACAGGCTGTGCGCGTCGTGGACTGACGGTTGCACTCTGTGCAACAGCTGCGGGCATCAAACTCCCGGCTCTCATCGTGCTCAAGGAACCGACGGGCCGGATCCCGCCAAGGGCACTGTTCGCACTTCAAATCCCAGGTATTGTCTCAATTTCCGCGTGCGGCCAATGTTACTTCTGGTTTGCCCAAACAAATTTCAGCATAAAAATAAGTTGAAAACATGCACTCACGCCTTTCGCATAAAAAAAAAAAAAAAGTTTTAGGACAGCGTTGTTTTGTGAACGATATAAAAAGCGCCTTCCACATGTATTTGTGCATTTCTAGTAGAGGGCGCTGCATGGGTTCGTCACAAGTTTTGTTTTTTCATCAATACCGTCAATACTACGCAGCGATGCGGCGATGCTTTCGTGTTTGCGGCTGCTCCGGTTGTTGGTGGTTGGCTTTGCCGGAGTTTGGAATGAAACCGAATCTCGGCTCCTTTCAGAAAATGTGAGAGTGACCTGTTCAAGGAACGGATGGATGACTACGCCGGTCTTCCTCGAATGGGTGCGGAGGGTGTGGGGTGCCAACAAAGACGACGTGAGGCGGCTGCTCGTCTTGGACCAGGCGCCCATTCACAAGACAGAGGCAGCGCGGGAGGCCCTCGACGGGAAGGAAACCGACGTTGTCTTCATTCCTGGCGGGTGCACGTCTATTCTCCAGCCAGCAGACGTGTGCTGGATGAAGCCCTTCAAAGATGCTCTCAGGAATCGTTGGTCCTCCTTCTTGCGGGAAGGGGCTGTCACCGCCAAAGGGAACCTCAAGAAGCCGTCGCGTCAGGATGTCGTCAGCTTCGTGTCCGAGGCTTGGGCATCTCTATCGGAGGAGGCCGTCCTGACGTCGTTCAAGCGCTGCGGCATCTCAACACGCCTCGACGGCTCAGAAGACGGGGAGTTGAACCACCGCCTGGCCTCTGTAAGCGACGAACCAGCGATGGGGCCCGAAGCTCGGGAGAGCATAGTGGACGAAGTAGTGCAACTCGTCTTTGACAGCGACAGCGATGAGTCGTTCGATGGATTTAGCGATGACGAGTGAGCAATAAATGCGTATGCACCGCTGATCTGTCAAATGCAGCCATTTTTTTTGTAGCTTTTGGCCCTTGGCCCGAAACTTCGCCCACCCCATGTTTTTCACCATTTATCTCTTAATTTTGGGTGGGCGTTCTTTCGGAACTTTACGGTACTCTTATTTGCTTTTATCATCTACAAAAGCATACACATTTTGTAATAACAGCATTTGCAATCTCAACGAAATGTTGCGTTTTCATTGGTCACGTGTCATCCTGGCTGCCGGAACAATGCTCTTCCCGTCGTCGGAGATGATTTTGGTGCGCAATCCTTGATTGTTTTTTAATAGGGAAATCGGTTATGCATTGTTATGATATATGGATTTCTAGGATGCTTAGAGCCCGCAGAGTGAGCTGTCCCCAAATTTAGGCGATCTCAGAAACCTCCTCAAGGCACCTTTAAAGAGGCCGTGCGACGATATTCGCTTGGAATGTTTTTCACTTTACATGAGCTTACTGGCACTAGTGGGACCCAAGTATACACGCACTCAACTCCACTGACAAAGGAACTCCTTTTTGTGTAATTTCAAGGACAAAAACGAGTGTATTCTTTCAGTCTCTTCGTTTAACTGGACGACGTAGCTGGGTGATTGTAGTACCCTCCTCAGTGACGATATTTGAATGAGGCTCATAGATTGGACCAGAGCATTGCGTGAGTACTTGATTTGGGCTCGTGATAATCAATAGCTCAACAAGCATTGGGGTAGTGACCCATGTCCATTGGCTGCAATGACGTCAACAGCCAAATGATAATGTCGGGAACTTGGCGCGTGTCCTCTGCTTTGGCAACCCCAGCGCGTGGCTATGATCAACATTGGCTGCATATAATCGGCTCCAGATCACGTGGCTGCCTGATCTGGGTGAGAGTTGAGGGTTTGAACGCTGCTTGTTTTTCTTTAATTTTTCTGCGACTTCTATTGCGTGTGGTAAAAAACAAACGTGCTTCGTAGGTCAATAACGTTGGGAATTCTGTCTAAACGGTATTTGTGCAAAGTAAAAAAAATTGTTTCATTGCCCCTTTAAGAGCATTGTCATGCCCTAATGAACAGCCAAAAATTAATTAACTGCGTGCAGTATAGGTGATGGCAACGCCAGGCGAGTGGAGAAAGGGCAAGCACTAGAAAGGCTGGGGCAGAAGAGAGAAACCTCCTCTCCTGCCTAACGTTCCTAGTGCTCTCCCTTTCTCCCCTCACCCTCCTCTCCTATTCCACCTTCTTAGTGCTCGCCCTTCCACTCTTTGCCTGGCGTTGCCTTCGCTTGCACTGCACACAACTAGTGACACGGTGTGCACTGCGCCGTTACAGCCAGTGTTTGAATCTGCTGATTGAGGATCTGTAAGCCAGTAATAATTGGAAATGTTGAGATTATAGATGGAAAAGCTTTATTGAGGTGGCACAGCCTGGTGTAGTACTCGCAGATGAGTCGAACTTCGGGTGTCTCTGAACTTAGCAACTTTGATGCCATTAGGCTCTCTTTACCCTCAAGGCCTTGGACATTGGAGGCCTTCAAATAAGCCCAAATTCACTCCTTTTATACTCGAAAATCTTTTTAAAGATCGACGACCTATTTGCTTTCTACTTTTCCCCCGCTTCCTCCTCTCCCCCTTCTACCCTGTCCACCATTGCCTGTTTCCTCCTCCCCCATGGTGAAGAGGATTTTCTGCCTTGCAGAAGCTTGGGTCTGGTTGTCGGCCTTTAAAGTTTGTAGAAAGACCAGGAGTCCTAGTTGTGACCCTGTTTTAGACGGTGCTTATACATATGCATTGGAACAAAAATTTACATTTGGGCTGTTTTTTTGTTGTGTTTTTTACCTTGTCCCAGTTACAGGTTTCGTATATCCAATAAGCAAGACAAAAAAAAAAAAAAAAATCAAGGCATTTCAGTTTGGAAGAAGTAAAATATATTAGAAGAGGCAAAACAAATATGAATGACAGTTGCAATTAAACGTAAACTCCTTCCAGTGGTGTGGCAAGAGCAAAACTATGCTTTTCCACATGCTGGAAGTTCTGCCATTCAAGACGACGATGGCGAGCATAAAAAAGGTCTGGAGTCGTTGGATGAGTTTTCGAAAGGAAACCGAAATTACTAACATGCCGTTCAAGTGGCGCAACCCAAGGGGTAATGGTTAAGCGAAAGTCCGTGCAGAATCATAGTAACTCCTTCGGCTAACGACCAGTGGCGCCAACTGCCGGAGTCGGGAGCGGATTTCTGAGAAGGACGTCCCATGCAGGTCTGTCGGGGGACGTGCACATCTGCGGAGGATGCCGGGCCGCTTTTTCCGACGTGGACAGCTTCGTTGCGCACAAGAGGCAGCAAGGCACCACCTGTGGGGAGAGCAGGCAGCACGACAGCCTCGGCCCCTTCCAAGCAGGGTGGGGAGCAGTTTGGGCAAACTCTAGCCATAAAGAACAAATTATTACTCTGTAATCCCGCGCATATCGCCTTGAGAGTACCGGATGTCTGGGGAAAACATTTACGCTAGCGTTTTCACTGGAAAAACAAACTAAGCGTCTCCGAATGCTCGGTCTCTGCCCAGGTGTGGCGCTATTGGTCCAAACAAAATGCCAAAGCTTCAGAGCTTGCCGTTGTCCAATTCAAAAGTTGTAAGCGATTTTGAAATTTTCAATTAGAAAATGGCAGCCAACGAAGCCCGTGGCCGCACGTGTTGAATGGCGTCGGCTGCTGGGAATGGGCCCCATTTTTTCAATGAAAACTTAAGAAAATAGCTCAACCCTTTCCATACAATGAAGAAAGGTAGTAATTTTTGAGAATTGGACAAAACATTTTTTTTAATTTTAACAACTAGTCAGCGTGTGGCTAATTATGATACAGCAAAACGAAGCCAATAAACTTTTTTCTAGAAGAAAAAAAGGTTTATTATGAAAATATGTTGACCAACCAATTCCTAAATCAGGGGCCCAACGTTTTGAAACCTGTTTGGCTTCTTCTTCAGGGGCGACTAGGAAGGAAAGGAGCTGCATCTTCTTTTTTCCTTATGGTGGAGGTGTATGACCACTTTCCCTTGTTCTTCCTCTTTGACCGTTTTTCGATGACACATGGTTGAGCCTGTTCACATATGCGGATGGCAGTGCGCCAAGAGACCTATTAATGTTTGTTGGCGTGATCTGAATGTGCCAAGATTCAAAGAAGAGCCTCCGGCGAGGATTAGTTTCTATGTCCAGGAGTGCCTGTCCTCATACATCGGCGAAGCAAAGAACTATCATGAACGGATTCGTCAACACAAGGCTGATGTGTGCAACTGCGATCAAGAGCGCAGCGCGTTTGCTGAACACTGTGAAAAAAATGACCACCGCATTGACTTTCTAAACAAGCGCATCCTGGACATCGAAACTAATCCTTGCCGGAGGCTCTTCCTTGAATCTTGGCACATTCAGACCACGCCAACAAACATTAACAGGTCTCTTGGCACACTGCCATCCGTGTATGTGAACGGGCTCCACCATGTGTCAATAGTTCCAGGCTTCCTTTCTTTTCAACACTTCTCTCTCTCTCATCAAAAAACGGTCAAAGAGGAAGAAGAGGGGTTGTGCGCATTCGCTTCCGCCATAGAGGAAAAAGAAGGTTGCAGCTCCTTTTCTCCATAGTCACCCTTGAAAAAGAAGCCAAACAGGTTTTGAAATGTTGGGCCCCTGATGTAGGGATTGGTTGGTTATCATATTTTAATAATTATTTCCCCAACCAGACAGACTTCTGTATAATGTTTACTTTTAAATAAAAAAAAAGGTTTGGACTAGTGTGTGAAGATAGTTAGCCAGATTTAAATGCTGAACTTTGAATTTGTGCAAAAATGAGAACAAAAAGCTTAAACATTTGTGGCTATACCAAATCATACTTTGATTTTAAAAAAGTCCTGTGTACAAAGTGTGCCCCATATTGACCGCTATCACTTATGGAAGTTAAGAGAGCTTTAGCTGCTTTCAAACACTTTTTTGTTTTTGCACTTGGCCGTGGGTTGAGACAGCACTGCTTCTCTGCTGCTGTTTTTATGGCTTGCAGCAGACATAAAATGTGTGCCCCGGCTTGGGACAGCCTGAATGCTAGAACGAAGCTCGCCGACAAGCACCCATCGATATTTTGCGCTTGGGGGGTGAAACATTGCTGCTGGAGCTCATTTCAAATGATCCAACATCATCCACAATCCTCACTGCTGCTGTCGTTAAAAAAAAAAAGATAAATAAATAAAAGACAAGCTACTTTATGCTTTGTTTTATACTTAGTAGTGTGCAACGCTGTCAAAGCTACTGGCATGAGCATGTGGCTTCATCTATGCTTTTTTTTGCACAAGAACGTGTGCAAATGATCAACAAGATCAAGCCCCATGCTTGCGCCAGTAGCTTTGACAGCGTTGCACACTAAGTATGAAACAGAGTATAGTCAGTTACAAATTAAGAAAAGTTTTCGAGGGAAAGGAGGCAGGGGAGGAGGAAGCAGACGGAATGCTTCAGAGGAGAGGGGGAAACCTCCTCCTCTCTTCAGCATTTCGTCTGCTTCCTCCTCCCCTACCAGAAAACTTTTCTTAACCTGTCGCTGACTATAGAGGGTGCGATTGAGGCTGTCTTTTTAGAGGTGACCAAAGCCAGCAGGACACCGTGTTTGACACGTGCCACTGCCGAGCAGAGTTTTATTCCTGATAGCTCACCAGCTTGGGAGAAAGCGCAAAACAAAATCAAAATTGAAAATGTATTTTTTCGGCTATCTGTGAGATGACGCGAAGTGTTCCTGCATGGCAAGGTGAAATTTTGGCGGTGCATGGAAGCCATTGATCATGGGTGATTGATGGCTTATGGCCAGGGTACAGAAAGAGTTAACTGGGCCGAGAAACATGTTCTGAGCATGCACACTAGCTCTCTCCTGCAAAACACTGTCGTGGATAGAAAAGGATTGACGAGCGTCAAGCCTAAAATAAAGGTTGAATCGGCGAACTTGCACGATAAACAAAAGAAAGAATGAGCATCGAAGGCGGCAGCAGCGAGCATCGAGGTGTTGGCATGACTGCCAGATAGTGCGAGAGTGGGTCTGCAAGGTCATGCTGGCCTCCTTACCTATTACACTCGGGGTAAGAGTAAACACGAATCTTTTAGAAATATGAAGAAGCATTCCCTCTGAGCCATGCGCGCAGCAATATCGGACGACAATCGTGCATGCGTTGCCCGTTGACTCTGTGCTTTTCGTCCGTTTGATAACTGCTGGAAAGGAGCGTGGTACACTGACTTACGAGGGCTTTCTTCGTAGGCCCGCTGTGGAACAGGTGTTTCCCAGCATTGTGGTGCTGTCCGAGCTTTCGGCACAAAAGCCAGCAGCAGAGTCCTGGGTGCAACCGGATGGTGCACCTCCCATCAACCCTGACCCCGCGTCGTCTGCAGCCACGGCAACGGCCGCCACCCATCAGCGCAGTAGTGAGTGTGCGGCCCAAGGGCCCTGACTTTCCTGTCTGGGCAGCGTTGCGTCCGCTTAAACAGTTCACTCCAAAAACCTAGCAACCCCCCCCCCCCCCACCCTTTGTGGATACGGTATGCTACTCGGCATTGCACTATCGCATCCGCTTAAACATTTGTGCTAAAATAAATGACATTACTTTGACACCGAAATAGGGTTCTCATTGGCATGTCTTATTGCATCCCACCCTCGATGCACGGTCTAGTAAGTTGCCTGTACCTTATTTCAGAACATTTTGACATATACTTTCCTGGATGGATAAGGGCAGTTCAGAGTGGGAAGGAACGGCTCATTAATTTATTCAGTATCCCCTTAGGCTGGCAAGGCATAAGGGAGGAGAGTGGTAGGAATCAATAGACAAAGAAGCAAGGTGTAGTCGTTACACCAGTAACACAATTACTGCAAACAACTTAATTTTGCGACTAGACAAATGTTGAGAAAAATTTATCCTGCGAATATTTCGTCACATAGTATGAATCATAGCATAGCGCTCTAAACAGCAAAATTTTGTACCCGCGAGATATTCCCAAAACTCGCACTTGACAAAATATGCGAAATTGAGGTAATTTATGGTATTAGAATTGCCCCTGGTTGAGCAATAGCATTTTTGAATTCCAACCACGATAGCCTTTCAAAGGCATTCTTAGATGGTTATTCGGCGGAATTTTCAGCAGTCACGGGTTGGTATGTCGCGACAACAGCAACCCTTCGCCCGCTCACCTTTTATGCCGGAATCCCTGCGTCCAGCCTTCAGGACTGTGCCCTTCCGCAACACAACATGCCGGTTCCTGTGGCATGACTCGCTGCCACCCGGGATCACTTTTGTCGCGTGGGTGGTATAGGATGCCAGATGCATGTCTCTATAGTCTGTTGCTTCTAGGGATGTCGCGAACCACCCCAGGTTCGATTTCGAAAGGTTTCGATATTTGCGAAGCGAACTGAGGTTCGATTTCGAAAAATTTCGATATTTTCGTACCGACCGAGGTTCGAATTCGAAAAATTCGCAACTTTCGATCACAGTGGAGTTTCGAATTCGAAAAGTTCGAAGCTTTCACGGTTTCTAAAATTTTTGATTCGAATATTTCGAATATTTTTTTACTTCGGGTTCGAAATTTTCGAAAATTTCGAAATTCTTTGGAAATAAAATTTGAAAACTTCGAACGCTTCGAATTTGTATAGACATGAAGTTCGAACAATTCGAAGATTTCGAATTTCTTTCTGCATAAAGCTCGAAAAGTTCAAAGGTTTCGATTCTTGTTACGCTAAAGTCAAAAAAAAAAAAAAAAAACATTTCGAAGATTTTGAATTTCTTTCTTGTCCAAGTTTTCAAAGTTCGAAGTCCGGTTTTCAAGTTCCTCCACAGTTTCAGTTTCAAATAACGTTTTCACGAGTCATTGGTCTTCACAAAATCAAGTTTAGAAAAGTTAGGGTGTCTAGACTCTGCGAAGTTGGTCAGGCAATTAAATGAGACGACGAGTGTCCCGGATGTGCTGGAATATTTGCCAGTGCAGAGTGACGTGTGACCATAGATCAGTAATTGTGACCGCCAGCCCGGGGGGGTCTTTAACCTGCATCACGCAGTAGTGATCACACGAACACACTGTTTTACGAGACTCATCCAGTTCGAAACGGCCAGGGGCGAGCAGGAGGTTGAGGCTCAGAAAAACCTTGAAGCGACCTGGCAAACTACCTCGCCACCCCTTGCACGCTGGTAGTAGTCCGATCGAACGCCGCCCGAGTGACGCTGGCATATAGTAAGTTAAGTTTATAATAGTCCTGGAGGTTTATTTTCTGGGACGGAGGAATCGCCTCGCAAAAAGCCGACACAACTCGAGGTCGAGGAGCGTTATACCATACAAGTGGCGTCGGAAGAGGAAAAACGGGGGGAAAGAGGGTAGTGGGGGGCTTCAGTTCCCTCCACCCCCCCCCCCCCCCCCTTCCAGATATTTCGGACTGTTAAAGAAAACAATACGGGGAAAGAGGGCGTGGTCGAGCTTATTTTAATCTGAAATTATTTATGCATATGTATAGCTACTGTCGCTCTTCACTGCATAAAAGATTGCGTATACGGTCATTGTTAGAAACTCGTTCTCAGAAGTCACTACTCGTCACATGCTTAGTGTTTGGAAGTTCAAAGCTATGTCTTTTCGACCTAAATACCTGTGCCAATAGTAAAAAAAAAAAAAAGGAAAAAAAGAAAGGAAAAAAATTGCGGGGATAAAAAGCTGAAGAAAAAAAAAAACTGTAAAGAATTCGGCGGAAGTGTTGTATTCTTGCATATTCAGAGGTTCAGAACTTCGAAACAAGTTTCTTTTACCAAAATGCTACAGGCTAAAAGAAACACGTCCCAGGAACGTGAAGTGAAAAAAAAAAAAAAAAAGTTTTCTTTTAATGACGTGCTGAACTTGAGCACTATTAGAAATCTTCTCCCATGAGTTAATTTATTCCTTAACATTAAAAAACAATAAATACATTATTTTGTATTCTGCAGATGGCAATGATATGTACTGTCTGTGGTGTTAATTTAAATGCGATACCTCAAACAACTTAGACGAAAATAAATATCAAGTTCAGGGCATAATTGAATGTAGATACATGTTTGGACATTTCTTCGAAACTCACGTTGAATAACAATAATCACATCTTAAGACGGCACTCATTCTTAAAAAAAGTATAACATCTCTACCATAAATAGCTTCGGCTACAGCGCGCTTCAAATCTGGCACAAACGATAATCGTTAAAAACCCGTCGTCCTTCCTCGCCCCTTCGGGATTTTATTTCTTTCAAACTAAGCATGCCAGAACATTAAAACAAACGGCATTGTCTTTCGTAAGGAACGCAGCACCGCGTGTAAAAGTTCGAGAAAACAAATTACGAATGTACCTCACTACTTGAATTCAAATGAAACCGTCCGCCGGTCTTTCGAAGTTCGACGAACGTCGAACTTTATCCCTAAAAGTTCGAAGTTCGTCGAACTTCTGACTTTTCAGGATTCGAAAGTTCGAAACTTTTCGATTTCTCTTGATAAATAAGTTCGAAAGTTCGAAATTCATCGAATTTTTTGGTCAGTCAAGTTCGGAAGTTCGACAAGCATCGAACTTTGCAGAGCAATAAGTTCGAAAGTTCGAAAAAGATCGAATTATTTGGCGTAATAAGTTCGACGGTTCGAAAAGCGTCGAACTTCTCAGCTTAACAAGTTCGAAAATTCGACTTCTGTCGAATTTCACGATATAGACAATTCGAAAAATCGAAATCTTTCGAACCTTTCGAACCGCTTGATTCGATCATCGAAACTTCGATTCGAAAAAAGTTCGCGGCATCCCTAGTTGCTTCATAAGAAGGTGAAGAGAAGCCCCCACACCCACAAAGCTCTCAGTTATTGGCACTTTCCTGCTCTCTAACATTTGCTCCTCTAAGGTGCAACGAGGGGAGGGCTTTGTGGGAGGGGCTCGTAGTGCTACTCTTATCCCGTTTACTGTCAATGACGAGATATCTCATCACGTCGACTCCTGGCGGCAACTGCCGGGGACGAAATGACTCGTCTTGGCACTTCCTGTCGGATAAAGAGCGTGTCTGCAAAGTTCTTTTCGGGAGCTCATCAATTCACCTGGTATTCGGTGCTCTGCGCATGCTACTCTGAAACATTTCTAGCTTTTTTCTGGTTTAATCAATGCAATGCGGTGTTATTTTATCTGTTGGAAAGCAATGTTGCATTTTAAAAATGTATTATTTCCCACGTCCAACCACAACGAGGGTGAATGAAGAGCAATGTCTTGTTCACAACAAGTGCGGTGCCGATGCACTTTTAGTGCTGCTTAATTGACTCCGTCGGATGTAGGGCGAATAAGCAGGACAACATTTTTCCGTTTGATTCTAAGTGACGATAAATGGCTCCTATACGACGACAGTGAAGATGACCTTGGCTTGACTGAGTGCTCCAGTAATGAAAGTGCAACGGACCCTGTGAAACGGGCTCAAAGCTAAACTGGTTATGAACAATCTAGCCTGTAGCTTGAGATTGAAATTTTGGGTGCCCATTTGCACCCGAGGCGGCCTATCCACGGCTCAGGAGCCTCATACGGCCCTTTGGGGGTTCAAGTGTGGCTCGTGGCTCCCTAGTAGACCTACGCTCCTGCCGTGGATAGATCAAGATCAAAACTAAAGACGGAAAGAAATAAAGGCAGCTTGCGTTTTGTCCGCTTTGTGCCATCGTGCGCACGTCGGACAAGGTTTTACAAATGGGGACTCGCAACGAGGAAACACACCGGGCAATCGCTTTACTTGCAGAATTCATTGTGGTCACTGAGCAGAAAAAAAAACATTTTTCAACAGAGCCACACTTCCCTTTTAGTTGCAGCTCTTCACTTAAAATATTTACTTTTTATGGCTCGTTGAATAAGTCTGTCTGGCCACCTCTCGTTCGGACGAAGAATCAGCATAACACCTCGTATACGTAATGCAATCATTTTTGGGGCTGCCTGAAAATCAAAATATGGGTTGCCAGGACTGTTTTGATCGGAAAAAAATGCCCTTAGGCGATATGTGATGACATAAAGTTCCTCTGTTTTGAAGCATTTTCTGTAAAATCAGCCGGCAGCTGGTGGATTGACCTGCAACAGACTATACAGTCCACCATTTTTTGCGGCCATCCGTCATTCCTGCAGAGTCAAGGGACCAGCAGCCGCTGCTGCGGTGCCCCGAGCCGGGCTGCCCGTTTGGGAGCCGCTATGCCAAGGACCTGGTGCGACACGGCCGCACCCACAGCGGGGAGCGCCCCTTTCGGTGCCACCAGTGCGCCCGCTCTTTCGGCCGCTCGGACAAGCTCAGGGCACACCTGCGCAGGCACTCGGGGGAGCGGCCCTTCCGCTGCGACCAGTGTGAGTACCCCCTGTTTGTCTCCAGACCGCTTGGCCCCGCTTGATGTAACAGCCGCGTTCCAGAATTTACTCAGTCTCTACCCAGAGTAAAGGTTTTGTACCATTCGAAAACCTACTTGTGTCCAGCGTCGATCTACCTGTGTTATCATGTGATTTGATATCATGTGATGTATCATGTGATTTTATGTGATGCAGGGTCTGTCCAAAAAGTATTGTGACTACACTAATAAAGGGCATGATTGCAGATATACGTAAAATGAGTTAAAATTCCTCAAAAGGAGATCCTTCTGCGTCCACGCACCATTGCCAGCACTTCTTCCATGCATGGTACGCCCCCTAGAAGTCTGCAACCGGAGAATCTCATTTGGGCACTGCGTCAAAGCCATTTGCACTCTTTTCACCGTCCCATGCTGGTGTCTTTTCTGGCGTTCTTTCATCCGAGGGAAGTGGAAGAAGTCGGGCGGAGCCAGGTCTGGACTGTGGGGAGGCTGAGGCAGCATTGCCACGTTGTGCTTTGCCAGAAACTCCCTTACGCAAAGTGACGCGTGGCTTGGTGCATTTGGCCGATTCGGCACACACTTTCCTCTGCTGCAAGTCATCTGAAACAATCGAATGCACACTGAATTTCAGTAAATTCAACTTTTCCGCAGTCATTCTCGCACTCGCACGTCGACCAGAGTTCAAAAGTTGTTTCGCTTTTGCCACATTTTCCTCATTTCGGCTTGTCGACCGACGTCTTCCGCTTTGTTCCTCCTCGACATCCTCCCTTTTTTCTACTTTTTGTGCCAGTTGAAAACTTGTTTTTTTTTATGTGGAACCCTCCCCATAAGCTTCACACATCGTGGCTAGTGTCTCAGCATCGGATTTTATCGGTTTCGCAGAAAGCTTGACCGCATACTGCCATTCGATCGTGCACCGCATCGTGATTCTCGACGATGCAACAAAACAACTGCTTACTCTGGGCACAATCCGCACTCGAGAAAGGCTCAGAGGCAACTGAGCCGCATCGTGTCGTGTGCCTGGAATCCCCCATCAATGTCCCTGCCTAGGGAGGCCACCCTGCACCCAGTCCCCTTCGCTAGCAAAAATCAGTCCCAAACACTTTACGGACAGACCCTGTATATCATGTGGCAGTAACTTAGATCTACTCAAGTAAGATTTGGAGCACAGCCAACATTACCATGCTCAGTTTCAGCTCATGGTGTACGATAGTGAACACAGCTGGCTAGCTGACATTGGCTGACACAGCTCACATTGGCGAGCTCTGTGGTGTCGTCTGCTTCGCTCCTGGCAGTTGACCAAATGGCGGTGCGTCATAAACTGGAAGAATCGGTGGACCTCCAAGAGGAATCACAAAGTTTGATTCCTCTTGGAGAGCATGTGGCACTTGGAGTGTGGAACGGCCATTGCTCCCATGTTATTGATAACTGTGTCTGTGGCAGCACCAAAACGGACGCCGCGAGCCATCGGAGCCAACGCATGGGTCGGAGCGTGTCACGTGACCCACCGGTTTGGTGGAGTTAGGCGCAGAACTTGAAGTCACGTGGCACGTGCGGAGTGCTGGATTGGCTAACGTGGCTTGTACTAGCGCATTACATTTTTTAACATTTCGGAAATATGGGTTCAAAAGGTTCGACCCGTTCTCGAATGGTCGCAGATCGAAACATTGAGCATCGTATCTTGGAAATTTGTTCTTGGACTTGAAAATAGATTATTGAAAATGTTGCAGGTGACATGTATTCACCATAAAAACTAACTGTTTAACAGACCTTTTTGCTGTTATTTGCATCCAAACCACATCTTTGTTCCTCTCATTGTACAGCATACGAGAGTGATGTCTAAAAACATTAAAAAAGACAAGCAAATCTGGCACGGAAACGAATACCCTATTTTATTACAAACTCCGGGAATCTCATTGAATCCTGCTAAAGCGTGATACCAACAAACAACAGTGAAAGAGTAATGCATCAGCTATCAGTGAAGTGGGGCATTGCCCTGAGCGACATTGTAAGGCAGGCATTTTGCTTTCTGCGAGTAGCTGCATGTACGGAAATACCTGGAACATACAATTCCACCAAAGTATATAGCAGTGTTACGGCATTTTTCATTCTGTAGGTCGCTTTTTCTATAAACAGCTGTTTTAACAAAAAAGTTTTACGGAAGTCACACCTTTGTGTATGTGCACATCTTTGTACTGCCGGCGGGGTCGCTGCAGCTGCAAGCTTATGCCGCCATGCTTCAAGCTATCTTCAAACTGCTGAAAGAGCAGGCCATTAAAGGGTGCTTCACTGTTTCTCGTTTGTTTTGAATGTTCATACTGCTAATGTCTCGCACAGTTAACCCCTTGCCTGCTCATTTTTTCTTTAAGGAATGTACTGCAAAACTTTATTTTAAACGGGCAATTTGCATCAAAATAAGACAAGCATATCCTCGACTTCCAGGTGTGGTATCTTGCTCTAAATCAGGAGTTATAATCTTCTGATCCTCTTCAGTAGTTATTGACAGTGTGATAGCACTGAAAACAATAAGGAAGGTGGAGTGCCACCCTAATGGGAGTGATAAAGACAATTTGCATCGCTTTCACCACTCCCATCTCCGTCTGTCGAACTATCTCATTCCGAGTAATCAAAAAGGCTGCAAGATTTGTCGTCAGATATGCCTGAGCATTCACTAATTCACAAAGAAGTTTTTGGATCTTTTTGTCGTCTAAAGTGGTCCTCCGTGCCGAAACCATGTTTTGGTGCAAAGGCTTACCCAGCGTGTGCTATCTTTTTTTGGGGGGGGGCTCATTGGAGAGTTTTTTTTTTGTCAAACAGCAGCACAAACGAGCAAAGAAGCCAAGGTAAGTAGAGCAACAAGGGTGGTGCTGTCATCTGCCGGAGAGCGCACTAAACAAGCGCCGAAAGCTAAACACGAGTCACACTCATTATTACTAGGCAAGGGGTTAAAGGGGTGATGCAACTATTGTAACTTCAGAAGAATTTGCAGTTTTTAATTTTGACATTGTTTATCTTGCCAAAAGGGATGGAGAAACCGCCTCATTCTTTTAAAATATGGCGATTCTGTTGTGTAATAGCGAAACAAAGAACGGGAATATTTCGCAAATTGCACCCATGGGGTGGCAGCTGTGGGAACTAAGGCTGCCACCCCATGGCTTTTAGAGCGCAGCTCTTAGGCGCCCATTTCCGGCTTGAGCGGCGTCGCCGTCATCAAGGTCATCAAAAGGTCACGGGACCCCCAAGCTCACGTGACCCCTCCAGGTCACCCCAAGGTCATGTGACCTGGAGGGGTCACGTGACCCCTCCAAGTCACGTGGCCCCTCCAGGCCACGTGACCCACTGAGGTAACGTGACCCCTCCCAAGGTCACCTCAAGGTCACGTGACCCCCAAGGTGACCTCCACGTGACCCCCTGAAGGTCACGTGACCCCCAGGTCACGCCTCCCCGAGGTCACGTGACCCCCCCCCCCGAAGTCACGTGACCCCCCCCTTCCCAAGGTCACGTGACCCTCCGGAGCATATTAAAGAATGAGGGGAGGAGGAGAAGGAGGAGGGGTCTACTCTCCCCTCAGTACCCTTCCCTCCTCCTCCTCAAGAGCTGCGCTCCAATTCGGTGTTACAGGGAGTTGTAAACGGCTTTCACTTTTTAGAGCGCAGCTCTTAGGCGCCCGTTTCCGGCTTAAGCGGCGTCGCCGTCGGCGTAATCAAGGTCACGTGACCCCCAGGTCGTGACCCCCCCCCCCAAGGTCGTGTGACCCCCGAGGTCACGTGGCCCCCCCCCCTTCCCCTCTCCCCGAGGTCACGTGACCCCCTCCCTCAAGGTCAGGTGACCCCCCGGAGCATATTAAAGAATGGGGGGAGGAGGAGGAGGTAGGGGTCTACCCTCCCCTCAGTACCCTTCCCTCCTCCTCCTCAAGAGCTGTGCTCCATTTCGGCGTTACAGGGAGTTGTAAACGGCTTTCACTTTTTATTTTATAAATTTATAAAATGCCACCCCATGGCATTATATAAATTTTGTCGTTTCAACATTAGTAAATGCATCAAAAAGCTCATATCATCGACAAAGTTGTACTAGTATGTTCAGTTTTAGTGGTGCCATTTCCCCGAGGTGAAAAAAACTATTCCACCCTTGAGCCTCATCTTGTTGCTACTACGTCAGTCTAACTTCCCTACAATGAAGCAAGCACTTTCTCCCCCTTCCCTTCCCCCTTTCTCTCCCTCTCCACATTGCTCAGACCAATCTTTAAAGGGGTACTCCACCAATCTTATGGTAGACTTCAATTTGGCTGGAAATTTGCAGACCACATCAATAACCCTTTGTCAACTGATAACCAAAATATTTTATAAAATAAAAATTTTCCGTGAAGTTATTGAATTTTCAAGTAACGTCGGCCGGGAAGGTTCCAGGAGGCGACTGTCTACTGGCAATAATGAAAAATCCCTACTTTTCCCTACCCGCGTACGTCACGGGTGGGCAGGCAGACGAGCGACTCGGGCAGCTGCGAAGTGGCTTTCTGAACTCCAGCGATCGAGATTATTTTTTCGCAGCTTCAAGGTTGAGAGTTCCTTTGCATTAGGTAGCAATCTGTGGTCCGTTATAGATTGTAGAAACAGTGCCGGGAAAAAGCTTCTTTTTTACCCTTGTTTTTGTGCACGCGAGAAACAAAATGTGCTCCCAGGCAGCAATGGAGGCCAGCCACGTCAAGGTGCTTTAGCGCGAGCTGTGTGTCGAGAGAACTAGAGTGTCACGCGAAACATTTTCACTTTTGCTCGGAATGCTTTATAGCCGCGTGCTGCGAGTTGAGTATACTTCAGCAGCTGGAACAGCTTCAAGAGCGGCAAACGCAAACTCAAACTCAAGCCGGCTGTGACCACTACGACAGACATCTAAAGAAGAGCGCTGATAATATAGAGAAAAATAGTAGATAATCTAACTCTATTGTCGACATTTTGCACAGTCACATTTGTTGTTCACAATTGCTTCAGTGATTTTTTAAAATTTTTTATAAACACTTTCTGTTTTGGATGTCAAATCTAGCTCGGGCTACTCTCGGAGTTCCACTCACGCGGCCGATTCGTTGAAGACGAGAAGTGAAACGTCTAAACAAAGTTCAAGTCTGAATTTAGACACGACTTTCGACATATTGCTATTTCTGTCTGCTATTACAGAGGTCTACGGAGCAGGTGTTGAACTCCATTAATATACGATATAGCCTTTGCCTGGTTTGTCAAACGGTTGGCGTGCAATATTCTCTGCAGAAGGAGTGATGAAAACGTCCTTAATTTATTCTATTGCAAAGAAATTTTATACAGGGCTGAAAAGGTTTTTTTTAAACCAGGAAAATATTAATGTCGTTGAGGGGCAGCATGCAAATTTACAGCTGATGGAAACTGTGCTAAACCAAAACTTAATTTTAAAAAGAAAAAATCTTGTATAGAATTACCCCCTTCCTATGTGCGCTCGTGGATGGGTGCTTGAACGTGTTGCATTCTACTCCAAAAGTTAATTAAAAAAAAAAAAAAAAATGTGTGCACATTTTTTTTAGTAACATTTGTTAACTTATTTTGAATTAAAAGTTTTATGATGTCTTTCTGTACCTTACGCATTATTGTATCTTCAAGCAAATATTCTTTATTTGAAGATGAACAGTGTATTTGTGCATTTTATACATATTGTAAAATCCCGAGAGTTGCCCCACCACCGAAAAGTAACCCACCCCAATTCTTGGCTTGGTTTGCTATTTTCTTTTAAACACTGAAAGATAGCTCACTCCTTGTAATCAGTGTTGGGATCAATGATGACCTTGGCATAAATGTGTCTAGTTAGCTATGGCGGGATATAAGCAAACATTGATGACTGGGAAGTTCAGAAGTCTTTGCTTAATTGCCCCTTGCCGAGATAGCAAGCTTGACAAAAGCATGATCTAAAAATATTTTTTTTTCAGCTTTCCTTGATTGTACACCAAAAGTTGGCCCACTCCTTATTTTCACCCAATTTTTCCTCGATTTTAGGTGGGCTATCTCACGGGATTTTACGCTATTCCATTGCACCTTGATGTTTGGCTTGGTGGTTGCAGAGTTCTTTTAATTGTCGTTTTAACACAATCTTCATGACCAGTAACCTGCCATCTGATCTACACGAAAGCAGTTCATTCCATTCTATACATTTCATTGTTTACGAGAATCACGGTCTACATGTGTTAGGTCCCAGCCCAGCACGCACACGTTCGTCGCTTTGGAAGGCGAGCAATGTACGCACCACACGCACGACTGCTGGAAATGGCATTGGCCAGAAGTGCTTTTCAGAAATGGTCTATATTATTTATGCCACAAGAGTTGTTACACGTGCTGGCACTTGCAGCGGTAACTTTTCTAAAGAATATCTAAACCAGATGGCACGTTCCCTCTGGTTATACGAGCGTGGGACTTCTGTACCCACATTCCGAGCATTTTCCGTGGTGCTTTGGCAATTTGTCATAAAATGTATTTCATGACTCTTCGACCTTTCTTCGCCAGCCGTCTTCTAAAAGAGAACCGATTTACTAGCGATATCGCGAAACTAGCGGGCCGCAGCTTGGGCATGCCGAGTTGCAAAGACAGTGTTATCAAAATTCCAATTGTTCCCTTCTTTTTTTTTACTTTCTTATAGTTCAGCACGTAGGCCAAGGTCATACTTTGTGTAAATATAGATAATTATCAACTTCAAATAGCACGAACGCTCAGGTCTTCTTGCTGTTTGACGCGAGAAAGGCGGGCGCAAGTGTACCCGATCGCCGGCCGCGCGCCTGGCTGCCCGCTTGTGACGTCACGCTTTTGTGGTGGGGAAAACTGGGGGAAAACTAGGGAGAACAATGTTTCAGTTTCGGCAGCAAACAAAGAATCACTTTTTTTTATTTAACTAGAGTGAATATTGGAGGACAAGATAGCATTTCGGAATCAGGAAGCCATATATATATCCGCATTCAGATTATGCCTTTGAATTAAATAGCTCGAAAAATCGGCGGAGTTCCCCTTTAAGGGGGAACACTGGCTAGAGGTCGAACTTCTGAACTACTCAAGTGACAGGTATGAAATTTGCAGGGGAGATTTAACTTCAGATGAAGCTGTACTGTACAAACTTTCAGCTCTCTAGATTAACTCCACCTACCTCCATAAGATGTGTCACTCTTTGTTAAAGGGATACTGAACCGAAATTTGGATTTCGCAAAGTAAGGCTGCAGAAGTGCTGAACGGGTCGCTACAAACCCCAAAACATCACTCGTACATCGATATCTCAAACGGATGGCCGTACTTTTGGAAAAGAAGGGCGCGATCAAGCGAGTTCTTTGACATAACTGTCCTCCGGGAGAATTTAAAAATGAGGAGAAGCAGCCTCGCTTCTCTCCTCCTCGCTTCGGTTCACCAGCTTGACGGGACGTAGCGAATAGGAGAGAGAATGGGAATCGTGATGTGCCTTGTTTCGTCGGCCTCGTAGGCCGGGTTTAATCGCACACTTTTTTTCCAAGAAATACGGCGATCCGTTAGATATATTGCCGTATGAGTAATATTTTTTGGTTTCGCAGCTTCCCAGCTATCCGCCCGGTCTTGTTTAGTGAGCTCAAAATTTCGGTTCAGTATCCCTTTAAGAAATCTATGATGTGCAAACGAAGCCACTAAGCATCATTTTAACTGGTTGAATATTAAGTGGGGGATATGGGACTTCGGGCTATCTAGTTTTTATAACTCAAATGTAAATATTTCGGGAAGAGTGATTACCTCAAAATATGAGATGCATATCTGGCCTATGTAAATTTTTGAAAACATAGCTTTTTCTCAATGAGGACTCTAACCTAAAACAAAATAAAGTAGATAGCCCGATTCCCCAGTAAATTTCAGTTCGGAAACATCTTGATTGTGGTATCAGAATAAGTTTACCTTTGAACAAAAGATTCCTTCGTATGAAATTTACAGCAAAAGGTGGAACTGAAGAAACTGCATTCAAACATTGAACTCCTTTACTTCGTTACTGCCTCACAATGTGTTAAAAATATTTCATATCAACTTAACTATTTGGCACATGAATATGAAATTAAATGTAAGGGTGTATAATTAGTTTCTAAAACTAAAAACCTCAAAATTGAAAAATGAACTTTTTCAAAACATTTTGAAACTTAGGCCCATGTCGCCCCTTAAGGTCACCATGTGAATCGCAAGCAGAAGCCGCGTGCGCTGGAGGCTTTGAAAGAGCAGCCACCCGGTTTCTTTGTGTCCCCAGTGCACCCGGTAACATGTCACTGTGCACGTGACTCGGGAGACGTTGTAAGAGTTTAGAGAGGTTCGGAGGCACCCAAAAATTCAATTGTTTGACAGTTTTTAGGAAAGAACTAACACATGCGGAAAACATTGGCTTTTAATCCTTTAATCCAGACGTGACACGGAACAACTACCACAATTATTTGACCAAAGTCCAAACATTGTTGCACAGCCTCTTTAAGGCCCATTCTTACATATAAAATAAAGTCGCACCTTTCTGTAATACGCTTTGACGGAAATTCTTGAAAAACACCATGACACTGGGAAATAAAGTATGCATCCTAGACAAATAAAAAGCAGGCAGCTTGATGGCAGGCACCAACCATTCATTTTATCTAAACTTTCCTTAGCTGGAAAAAGACATAGCAATCAGAAAGCCAATCGATAAAGAGAATATGCATAATCACACCTCATACTTATAATAAGTGGGGTTTTTGACTGCTTTATATAGGAATGTCCCATTAAATCATAATTTAGTTGAAATTAAGTTTGCAGGCATCTCTCGATTGTCTCTCTTTTTTTATGTCTTCACGAATTTGCTTGTTTCTGAATGTTTTCAAGTGGCACTGTTTGGATGGCCTGTCTCTAACCGTGACTGCTGGTGTTTGCAGGTGACTATGCAGCCACGGACAATGGGATGCTAAAGATCCACCAACGGATCCACAGTGGAGAGAAACCCTTCAAGTGAGTTTTACTGAGATCAACAATAACTGCCGACTCACAGCTTGATGGATTTTGGTAGCCAAGGGTGCATATTAGTTAGCAATTGTCCCCAGAGAAAAGTCTTTCAGACATTTCCGATGTCCCTCTAGTGTAGTTAACCCCTTGACTGGGGAGCGCGTCTTTAGACACGCCCGATGTCCTCTCCAGCGTAGTTAACCCCTTAACTGCACAGTGTGTCTATAGACGTGCTACGCTTCTTTTGAACAGAGGAAGCGTGCAGTGAAATGCGTGGCAATCTTTGCCGGAGGATATACGTGTTGCCATCTATGGAACATGATGCCAAACACACTTAGGTTTCTTTGCGTTTGCCGGCTAGCAAAATAATTTAATTGCTTTGGTGGAAATATGTGTTCTGTTCTTGTTCTTGGTTAGGGATGGTCGGAAGCGGCACAAAACTTTGACGGATGTGAAAATGACGGCATTGTTCTAGCAACATGACCACAGTGACTTGAACACAGGTACATGCTCGGTGACAGTGAAACAGGGTTGGGCAGAAATACTCAAAAATGTATTTGGAGATACAAATACTGGGATACTTTAAAATAGTACCTAAAATACTGATACTGAAATATATCTGTAAAAGTGTATCGGCGATACATATCGGAAATACATTTTAAATAGAGGCAAAAAGTATTTGGAAATACAAATACAGGAATACATTTTAGGGAGGGCAGAAATACAAATACAGAAATACTGGTACTGCAATACATTTTTAAAATTTATTTGAGATCAAATTAGATGAAGCTTGGAGTTGGAAGTGGAAGTTTTTGATCCTGAAATTACTTTCCCGTAGGCTTGGCACTTTGCCTTGAAGGTAGTGATTTTGGACGACGAGGAGTCCTCAATGGGCTCGGAAGAACGTTCCATCAAGGACTGACCGTGGTCCCTTCCCTGACATCCTGTCTGTCTTACGAGGGATGCGGAAAGACTTCGCCCTCTAAATAAATTCTCTGTCATCCTAAATCCCATCAAAACGTCACCACGCCCCTGTCAACATTTATCACATGACGTCACGGTGGAATGAACTGGTATTCTTTATCTGTAGGTGTGGCCTTGAACAGGAAACTTGACCACGCTGCTGTATGAAACGACAATACATACTTCCGTTGTAGGTTACGTCGTTGAATATCGTGCGGGATTTTTGAGAATGGTGGACCACCTGAAGCATCCTGGAACTCATGTCTTATCTTCTGTTACGGTTGAAAAAACGATACGGTGGCATCCCTGTTGTGAAGGTCCTTCCTGCTGACCCTCCGCCACTAACGCATGGATGGCAGTCATCAAGTTTTTCCTTGCATACTCCAAATAGAGACCTCGTGGATTGCGACCTGATATTGCCGGCAGAGGTGCGAGCTCTCCAAGAGACAGCGCGCTCAAGACGAGTCGCAGGTGTACGAGTCGCAGGTGACCTCCTTCCTGGGTTTCGGATCACCAGAGCAGTGGATCACTTTCACGTCGGCAGATGACATACCCTTGAGCCATGCAATGTTACTCGCGCAGCCGCAGGCGCATTCGGATATGCGTTGAACTTCACTGCGTGAGTCATCCTACTATCTCAAGTCAACCACCGCCAGGCTCGTGCTGCAACGGACTGTGACTCAGCTTTGCCGGATGGGTGTACTGTGTACGCTATGGCAAGAGAGACGGTTAACAGCGGGCTATGGATGCCCGCAAACAATGACTCAAGAAACCCCTACCTAAGGACCTGTGGCACAAGGTGCTCTGACTCCACTCCTGGCACGCCACCTGGTTCGAGTCCCCGCCGCTGTGCAACAGTTCTCAGAAGAGAGAAGAGAACGCATAGAAAAAGAGTTTGGAGAATCGAAAGGAACCTTGGTCAGCATGGTAACAATGTCTAGCATCTACTTGACCCTGGTGCCCTCAAAAGTTAAAAAAAAAAAGCGTTCAGATTTTTTTTTTTTGAGGGGGGGCGGGGGGGAGTATTTCTAAAGAAATGTAACGAAATACATTTCACCGTGATTGTATCGCGATACAAAGGAACATTCAAAATGTATTTCGATACAGAAATACAGATACTGGTGAAAAAAACGTATCGCGATACAGAAATACAGATACGAAATGTATTCCTGAAAAACTATCGCGATACATTTGTATCGCGATACTGCCCAACCCTGCAGTGAAACTTCGGGAGTATTCAGTAGCCAAGCCTGGAAATATATTTTTCTCCAGATTCACTTACAAAAACATCCGTATTCATGACACATCAAAAGAAAAATAAACATTTAAGAATGAAAAGCGTCCCCCTTTCTCTGTACTTCAACACAAAAAAAAATACATGTTATACCTTCGCATTAAAAAAAATCATAATTTTAGCGAAAACAACTTTCAAGCTTTTGTAGTGAAAAAACTGCCCTAGGCATGGTCACACACCCAGAAATGACTTCCCAGTTAAAGGGATAATGTTTTTGCAGACTCCTCAGCTCCAACCCAGGGTAGCAAAGGGCTCCCCAAGGGCAGTAGGAAACATGCAGTGCATGTCGCACTGTGTTACGCACTGTTACCACTGCTTTTGCTACGATGGTGCGGGAAAGGGACTAATTGTTTGGGTGTGGTACCATCTTGGAAGGCCCACCGACAGGTCATGTTGGAAACTACAAGTTAGTGTTTGGCATTCTTTCAAGCTAGCCTAGTTAGTCCACTGACAGATTGACACGAATGAGAAAAGTAGATAAATGTGAAACAAGAAATAAATGTTTAGTAGGCAAACTTATGCTTAAAACTAAAACAAGAGAGGTACCACACGTCTTGTGTCGGCGACGAAAGGGTGACACTCTCGAGGTAGCGTGTGATCGCTTCTTTTTGTACGCGTGGGACATTCAGGAAGGTTTTGGACCAGAACACAACGAGAGCCAAGGATGGACTAGAACTTTCCAGAAGAGCAAAGAGGGATAAAAAAAATTTATGGCAAATTGCCAGGCAATTGTGTTGCATACATGAAATATTCTAGTATTACAAACAATTAGCGATACTCTGAGTTTCCGGACGCCTATGTTCACGACGCTTTTCATCGGATATAGTTGAACGCATACTGCGTGCAGACTTAATAGCTGTTCCTAGAATGAAGCGATACTACCACCAACCAGGCCAATAAACCTGTCATCTTACAGAGTCCTCCATACTCTCAAACTTCTCTCCCTCCGTGCTCACAGGCGGTCGAGCCCCTCCTCGCCTACCTCTCTGGTCACGTGACCTCCCGTCAACCAGTCGGTATCGAGCCTCGCGGCCATGCTTTTATTCGGGCTTCACTTTTGTCTGGGCTTTACGAAATGCCTAACACCTATCCATTCAACGTTTCACGTTCGAAAGAACCAGGGTGAAGGAGGTTCGGTCCCCGTTCCAGCATGTGGCAACATCGACAGGTGTTCATTGAACGCCCTTCTTTGAAACTCCTGATGATGTCACGCTGGCTTCCTCGTGCTCCTGCAGGTGCCAGCTGTGCTCTTTCGCCGGCCGCAACTCGAGCCAGCTGTCGGTGCACCTGCGCAGCCACACGGGGGATGCCCCCTTTGCGTGCCCCCTGTGCCCGGCACGCTTCAAGATCAGCTGCGACCTCAAGCGCCACCGGCGGCTACACACGGGGGAGAAGCCCTTCGCCTGCTCGCAGTGCTCCTACCGCTCGGCCGTGCGCAGTGAGTGCCCCGTTGGGATGTAGAACAAGGGTCTTGAACATGCGACTTGCGGACATCGCTGGAATGCGGCCCGCAATGGTCCTGCTGCTGCTAGCCCCGTTCCCATGTCTCGAGCGCTACGTGCGCCATAATAGTTTCATTTCGTCGATTTATTTTCCCTCAAAAGTAGCTCTGCTCTTGTAAGGTATTCACATATTTGCCACAACTCTGCTTTCCTTTATATTGAGTATCGTTTCGTCTTAATTTTTATTTCCTGTATTTTTTTTCATCTTAATCCACCCGTATGACAGCCCTGCTTCTAAGCTATAAGCATGAGCTCTTTGCTAAAAGACACACCTCGGCTGCACAAACTCTTGCTCAGCAGTAGCAACTGCCAGAGGTAAACCTATGATGTCTGGCTTCTAGTCTTCAAGATATACCATTAAAGTACAAGTATTCTAGAAATAAAATTTTTGTACGAAGAGGATGACCCGCTCGCTGACGATGCATTTTTGGCGCCAGTTCATTGGCTCACTCGGATAGTGGCGTCGGCTGTAGTCTTGGTGATAGCGAACCTCCGAAGACAGCACGCACTCTGACGACGCACTTTTGGTGTTTTTTGTCGTTTTCGTGTAGTCGGCGTTGACTCACGAAGGGACCCTAATAATTTGTACGACTTATCAGAGGTTTGCCTTAACAGAAGTGCCCTAATTATCATGCTGAGCATGTCTAAATTGCTCTTGACCAATAAACACAGGATGAAAAGGCCTACAATGAAGAGATACTTAAAAAGGGACATTTATTTGGCTTACCATGCCAAAAGAAGAAAAAAAAATAATGTTTCTCACACCACTAGTGGAGGAACCGATCCATTCGGTGATTTTTGACTGCCTCCTCTGTGCAAATCGGTGTCTGGCGATGAAAGACGACATATGGCCCATGTTCCTGAGAAAACATGGGTCACATGTCATAATTGAACCTTAATCACTGTCGTCACGTCCATCAGACTCCTTGTGCCGTCAAGTGCATTTGAAATTCCGCACTTCTTGAAAGAGCGAGCAACGAGCTTGCGCTGACGCAGTGAAAACCCAGCGCAGCGCATAAAGCGAGTAACCCAATGTCGGCTCGCCAAAGTTCCCATGCTGCAGCTCGATGCTTACGGCAAGGTGCAGTTCACGCCGCTCTTTTACAAAGTTACAGCAAAATGCCGTTCACGTTGCTGTTTTACAAAGTCGCTGAGACTTGCCTCGACGTCGGCGAAGACGCCATTCTTTGGGCTCCTAAAGCTTCTTCTCGTTTTGTTGCTCGTGAACAGAGCTTGCTTTTGTCGTTTCCATCCGCGGATGCTGCCCTCATTTACGGCGAATTGTCGTCTGGCAACACTGTTACCGATGTCTCCTGCAACCAAAAGAACTTTTCTTTCGTAGGCGACCGATGATTGTTTTAACGCCGACGCCATTGCCGAGCCTGACCCTGACTGTGTATGAATGATGGCGCCTTGTACATTGCGATTTTAGTGATGATGATAGCTGTTTTGAGCGCCACATTGCTTCGAAACCAAAACTATGTTAAACAGCGTTAGATCGCACCTCATCGAAGCTGAAAATTTGAAAAAAAATAACTCTTATTATATGCGGGTTTTTACGGTACATCTCACATACACCTCGGCCGGCGCAATTCGCAGCGTCGCCGTCGGTGCAGTGCCATCAAGAAGGGGTCCTACGGAAGTTCGAGCTAACCGAAATGCGCGCGCAAAGCGGTTCGTGTTAAACAGGTTTTTTTTTTGCATTGCGTCTATGGGAAATTAACCAAATGTCAAATACGATATAGCTTCGCCAATACTGGAAACTCCTCCGAAAACCCATAGGAGCGGCGGCGAACGTGACAGTGGCGCCTCTAGCAGACTCGGAGTCTACGGAAACAGTCGACGCAATGGAAAAGTATAGGCTCCGCGACGTCGTCGAGCTTTACGAGCCCCGTTTCGTCACCATAACAGCAGAAACAATTTATTACGGTCAGCCCGCTCGCAAAGCGGAATCCAGTGATCGCAACTGCAACGACAATCGAATAACAACACGCGCATAAACGAAGATAGAGCAGTTTATTTAGCGGTCTCAAACGCCTCTCGGGGGATCACACGCGGTTGAAACGCGTCTGGGAAGCGGAAAAAAGGCGTTTAGCTACTCGAACTACGTCGTAATCATTAAAACATGCAAAAACGACATGTTAATATTACCAGAGCAACCGCACGAGCTGCTGGAGCATAAAAACAAAACAAAAAGTAAGGATAAAAATGTCCGTGCAAACACTTACCGAACTTTGCAGAAAAGATGGTGTCGCCATTCCCGACGAAAATAAAAAGAAACGGGAAAGAGAAGTGAAAAACGGCGAAGAAAACAAAGAAGCTAGCAAAAAACTATTTCAACGACGACGGTCGTTGCGGCGCTTATAGAAAAAAAGACAGAAAAAGAGAAAGCAGCAAATGAATAGCTGGTGGTCGCCACCGGTGTTGCGTTCACTACAAACAAAGCGGAAGCAACAGACGAAACTAATGAAAAAAGAAGAAAGCGTCCCTTTTCTTTTCAGCTGCTTGTTGTACGTTTGTTTATTTGCTTTCGCGGCGTAGGTACGAACTAAAAACAAAGCAGGGGAAATAAATAACGTAGTGCAGCTCACACTGCCCGGTAAAAAAGAGTCGCAGAAATGTTTTGGTCGCAGGCAGCAATCTTCTATACGTGCTAGCAGTGAGTCCCCTTTTTTTTGGTTTCGAATTTCTTTTTCCAGTGACTTTGGCGGGTTGTTCGTTCGGTCGCTTGACGAAGCAGTTTAAAAGTACATTCAAGTACTTGTTGACGTAGGTGTCCGTAGGTTGACGTAGGAAGCAGAAGAAAGATTTTCCACCACATCGCACAAACTTGTTCTTGCAATGGTAGGCAGCACATAGCATGTTTGCCATCTCTAAGTATGCTCTGGTGTATGCTGGAATGCAGCCGGTTGATCAACAAAGGATGACCCGTAGCAGACGTGCCGGTCGGAGTACACAAATAAAATTCGAGTAAAAATGGATAACGAGCTTACACTTCTTTATATATATCTAATAAATATCAAAAAGCACGTATGACGATTTTGGATTAGAAACTCAATCGAAGGCGAAAATAGGAGCTTATCGCAGACGACAGTGGAAGAAAACAACAACAGCAAAGTTGCAGACGGCCCTCAAAATGCCCGGGCCTAGCGTAGCAGACGAACCGGGGGTAGTAAGCGCCGAAGCGAAGGAAAGAAAGCGAAAGAAAACAAAAAATATACACAGCAACATATAAGCAGGAGGAAGAAAGAACGCGGCAGAGTAGCGTCGCCTCAAAGATATAAAAGAAAGAAGACTCAAAAATGGGAACAGTGGAGACGGTTCAACGGGTGTCGGCCTTTATCGTAGAAGTAAAGAAACAGCGAAGCAGAAGATGTTGGTCGTCCCCGCGCTAACAATCGGAATTTGTGCACTGTAAATAACGTGACTGAAATCACCTTTTTTCGCGGGGCTACGACGCTCTCCCCTTCTTTCTTTGCAAGCGTGAGAAGTCTGCTTTTTTCGTAACTCCGCTTTTGTTAATCTATAATCGCGTCAGATTTGCATATGCACAACGACTTCTTTCGGAGCATACTGACATCGCCGTAACGTACGTGGTTCGAAATTGACTTCTGCTTCTTCATCCGGAGACAATCTTAACGGGATTAGCCAGCTCGCCTGTTCAACGAAACGGTTATAAGCAAGACATTCATGAGAAATGAGAATTGCAACAACAAAAGGAATTGACTGATAAGAACAATAAAGTTGAAACGAAGCTATGTTCTGAAATGTTTGTACATTGCCCTTTTTCACGAAACAGCGCGAAGGCATACATTCGTGTTTTGCTTGCCTTACATAAGTTGTGACAGAATGCTTTCTTCGGGAGAACTCCGAAATTGCACCCAGAATGCTGTAACATCTTTCCCACGCGAAGAGAATGTCCTTCACTCATGAGCTGGCACCCACTTTTTTAACTTTCAAAGCAGCGAATGTCCGTGACAATTTTTTTTCGTTGGTCACCTCGCACGGAGATAGGTAAAACCAATGTATTTTGGAGAATTTGTCTGCTAGCGGAGACTCCGAGCTCGCCAGGGGCGCTGCAATCACTTTTCGCCCGTTTTCCGCGGGAGTTGCCAGTATTGGTTTCCACGGTATTTGCAAATGTTCTTACTTTGTTCGGCATATCCGAGAATTCCGCTTAAACGAGTTCGCCTTAACGGGAGTCTGCTGTATAAGGCGAGACATGGCCAAGGGATCGGGCAACCGGGAAGTCACATTCAACCTTTTTGCGTTCCAATGAGCTGCTGTGTGCATAGAACTCTTAAGTGCTCTTCAGAGACTATCCAGACAACCCTTGGGCATATCTCAAGGTAATGCTGCCCATGTTCGTGGGTTCTCAAGCTGGGTTCCCAGGAAGGTTCCCCAGAGCATCCTCGTGGGTTCCCCAACTTCCCAATTTTCTCGACCACCCCCGCTTTTAATTTAAGTGTTTTCTCAGTTCTAGCATTGTTTTAGCAGATCGAAGCCACCCCTTGATGCATAACTAGCGTAAAATACTGGGGGAGTGCCCACCCAACTTTCACTGCAAACTGGGTTAATCTGGACATGGGTGCTTGTCCGGTCAAATCTGTCGTTTAATGTATATTTTGCAGAATTCTCAAGTTTGGGAAATGTCAACAGTGGGGGCGCGGTATTTTACAGTATGTGCCAAGCATACCCTAGTACGCAGGTTACTGTTTACAGACTGTAGGCTTCTACGCCGCTTTAATGCATCAATTGCAAAACCAAGGAGGGTTCCCCGAGATTGAAAAGATTGAGAAGCTCCGTTATAGGAGAGACCTTGCAGAATTGCCTCGAAGAATAAAATTTTTGTGTAAGGCTCGTTGCTCGAAAAGATGGAATGTCTTCTCTTTTTTAATTATTGCACGCGATAATTATTCGAGAAAGAAACAATTGGTGGGCACCCTTTGCGCAGGCAACCTGGCGTCCCATGCGCGGCTGATGCACTCGGAGGCGGGGGTCCAGTGTGCCGAGTGCCCCTTCAGGGGCTCCTCGAGGAGGGAGCTGCGGCTACACGTGGGGCAGCAGCACCGGAGGGGAGGCGGAGCCACACTGCTGCGCTGCCCGCACTGCCCCTACGCCTGCGACAAGCGGCAGGCCCTACAGAGTCACCTGCGCTGCCACAGCGAGGAGCGGCCCTTCCGCTGCCCCGCCTGCCCCTATGCTTCCAAGCACCCAGGTAAGTGTCCTCTCCGGCATCGCGTCGGTTCCTTCGTTTCGGGCAAACTGCGGGCTGTGCTCGGTAGATGCTCTACAGGCACCTGGCCAACGATCGGCCCGCGTCCAGCCAATTATCAGCCCGCTTCCGTGACTTTCCTGCAGTCTGTTGCTCCGAACTAGAGCGACTACTTTTTGGAGCCTTTCAATCGGATAATGGGCTGTCATTCTCTGAATTAGATTTTTAGAAGTGTTAAAAGACAAAAATAATCCCTGGAGAAGGGGAACAAGAGGGACAAAGGACAAAGACAAATCTCCAAACACAGCTAGGTGACTGGTGCGCGACCGAAAAAATCCGCCTGGTCCGGGTATCGAACCCGGGACCTCTCCATTTCCAGTGGAGAGCATTATAATCATAGCGTTAAAAGGTTGAATCGGAAGAACTGGTGCTCGGATTGCGACTACCGTGAGAGTGGTCGGTGCACGAAGCGACTGTCTCGCGTTTATCTCCTAGCACGGAGCATCTAATTTTGAAATCATAACAGCCCAACAAGGCAAAACAAGGTTCGAATGCAATGTTTCTAGCAACAGTTCACAACGAGCGCGTGGTTTCACATTTAGGCGGGAACTTTCAACTTTAAAAGAACATGCTTAATTAATGTGGGTCAGGTGACTTAGAATTCGGATGTTCCATCTGGAGTCCTGCTCAAATAACCTTCATTCACAAACTAGAAATGAGTTGAGGTAGGGCTGCTAGGTTTGTCCTTGGAAGGTTTAAGTGGAAAGACAGCTGGACTAGCATGAAAAAATCTGATGATACCTAAGCACTTCTTATGAGTTGTGAATGCGAAAGTATGAATGTCCGACGATGTGGATGCTAGAGGCAGCGCCATGTTCGTCGGCAACGAGACGTGCAGAAGCATTGCTGACGATGTGGATGATGGAGATGACGGCACGTTGGTCGGCGGCGAGACGAGCAGAAGCCTCCAAATATGCGCCAACATGTCCGTTTTAACCAGCGCGGGGCCCGTAGTGGCATGGGGTTGCGGCGGTTAGTTTTATGGGTGCGCTGGTGACACGGACACGCAGTGCCATCTGGTGGCGATCGTTGAAACTGACGCGCGCAGTGGCCGATAGAAGCCTCGTTGCTGCGCGCCAGCCAACAGGACCTTTGTGATCAGGGAAACTAGGTGCCGTTTTCGCGCTTCAAACTGATTACGTCTGCTCGCTCCATGGGACAGTTAATGCTTTATCATTAAAACAAACTTAACTTACTTTCCGCTCACCGGAAAAAATTGTGATTAAAGCTTTTATTTTAAATATTAAAAAAGAAAACTGGAATATACTTACCTAAAAGAATGCGCTATGTTTCTACATGGAACAACCACACTTCTAAACTCTGGAAGTGGCGGGGCGGGACAAACACGTATGCCGATTTTGTTTTTGTTAAAATCATTAGAGAGTGGAACAGGTTACTGCAAGTGCAAGTGTGCTGCCCTAACAACATAGAGTTAAAGGGATACTGCAACAAAATTTTCGCACCTATTTTACTCGCGGCGAGAAGTTTCGGCGTTGCCATCTAGCGGAAGCCCGGCACAACCCAAAGTGAGGATTCTCGCTATGCTCTCGACGCCGCTTCTTAGAGCTGAATGGGCCTTCGTTCAGCCTCGCAGTCTCACTAGTAGCTTTTCATTTTATCTTTGCTTTTTTCTATAACATATTTTTGCATTCGTCGCGGACGATTACGAATTGGTGCGTCTGGCAGGTCCTCACCCCAGGCTTCAATGCTGCTAACTAGAGTGTTCTTTTTTTTTCTTGGGCAAAGCACAGTAAAGACATTCCTTTTTAGCTCACTAATGTTTTGAATTTTAATCTACAGTTGAACCTCGATTTAACAAAACCTGATTTTACAAATTTCCCGATTTAACAAACAAATTCTGATTCCCTGCATAGCCTATGTGCAAAGTCCCCCTTCCTCGATTTTACGAAGTTCCCGATTTAACAAAATAATTAGTGGGATCTTGGTGACTTCATTAAATCGAGGTTCAACAATATTTTCATTGTCAGTGTCAGAAAAATTCCTTGTCCCACTTTCTGACATGACACGGTTTCCTCTCTTGAGAAAAACAGTTATCTGTCCCGATTCTTGCATCTCTAAAATGTCAGAGGCAGTCCTGCACGTGTTTGCTTTTATACACATCCTGGATTTTACCAAACTTAATAAAATCATTGGCAGCACCATGTTTACTATTTTGGTAATTACATTGATGAAATGAATGCTCTTAGCATATAAAGATCGGATGAATATAAGTCTCTGCAGATTGAATACAAAGATGAATGTTGCATTTTGAAGAAGCACACAGCTTAAAAGCCTAACTTGAATTTAAAAACAAAACTGAAACAAAAACAAATAATTTTTATGTACATAACAGATAAAAATAAACAGGCAAGCTTCTATAGTCCGTTGCAACTCGAGAAGGTAGGGCGAAGGTAAGACGGGGCCAGTGCGGCAAAAGCAGACGAAACGCTGGAGAAGAGAGGGGGAACCTCCCTCTCTTTTGCGTGCCGTCTGCTTCCTCCTTCCCGGCCCGCCTTATCCTCGACCTACCTTCTTAGTTGCTACGGACTATAGTGTGAACCATTTTGCCTACGTATCTTTAACGAGTCATTCTGTTAAGATTGTGCATTTAAATTGACAAATGATTTGATGGACAGCTACAATGACAGCCATTTGAGACACTGAGCTGGCGTAGATGATATATGCGATGACCGTAATGACAGTATAATTAAAAAGAGAGGAGATGCAGGATTATTTTATATCTGATCTGCGAGTGAAGGAAATACTTTTCCGGTCCGGTAATAATATTACTGTTAACAAAATGCAACATACCCTACCATCACAGCCATTATTTTTGAACCTTACCTGACATTTTGCCCCGCTCACCATAAGCCATCTAATAATAATAATAATAAATCTTCAACTTAGAAACTCTAACCAAGCTTTATTAAAAAGCAAAAATCCCGACGTTTCGGAACCAACTCGGTCCCTTGATCACGGGTGACTGTTTTTGTCCCGCGGAACGGCCTGCCCACGAACCCGAACACCCCCGGGTGTTTTCCGGATTATCCCTCTTAACCCCGAAACGTAGCTGCTGGGAAGGGTCCCCGTCGACCGGTTTATGTTGCCACGTGTGCATTGAATGTGCCACGACTCCAACAGGAGGCGCCTCCGCCAGTTTTTCTCCGTTCCGAGGATGGAGCTGTTGTCAAGGTCGATGGAGTGGTTCGTCTTCTCGACGTGTTCGGCCAGCGCGCTTCCCTCCACATTTTTCTTCGCGATGTCGTAGCGGTGGCGCCGCAGGCGCTCTGGATAGTTTTTCGTTTCCCCAACGTACGACGCGGGGCAGTCACCGCAGGGAATTTTATAAACCAGTCCCTGTGCCCTCTCCCTCGGGGGGCGATCCTTTGGCAGGGGGAGAAGGCCGCCGATGGTCGAGGCTGGCTTGTGCGATACCGCTATGCCGTACTGTCGCAGTACTCGGGCGAGAACCTCGCTTGTGCCCTTGATGTAGGGTACACACACGCGGGTGGAGGGAGGGGGGGCGTCTTGGGTTGAAGGGGTGCGTCGAATTTTTTTGATCGTGCTTTTTACAAATCCAGCTGGGTAGCCATTCTTCCGCAGGTCTTGTTTTATCGTTTCGATCTCTTTTCGAAGGGTCTCCTCTGATGTGCAGACCGTGATCGCCCGTCTGACGAGTGCCGAAGCCACGGAAGACTTATGTGTCCTAGGGTGGCTTGAGGAAAAGTCCAGGTATCGGCCTGTGTGTGTCGGCTTCCTATACACACGGAAGTCCAGGTGGCCGGACTTTCTCACTGCACAGACGTCTAGGAAAGGGAGACAGCCATCTGATTCGTGCTCAATCGTGAATTGAATCGCTGGCTCGATGGAGTTGAGACGTGTGTGGAGACGGTCGATCTCACTGGTCTTTACAACACAAAAGCAGTCATCTACATACCGCAGGAAACACACGGGTGCTGGGGAGAAAGTGTCCAGGGCTTTTCTCTCGATCGCCTCCATTACAAGGTTTGCCACAGTTACGGAGACCGCAGCACCCATAGCCGTACCACTGGTTTGTCTGTAGAAGCGGCCAGCAAAAGAAAAATAAGTGCTGGATAGGCAGAATTCCAGTAGACGGCAAATCTCGTCCACCTCAAGGCACGTTCTTTCGGAGAGTTTCGTGTCAGACGAGAGGGCCTCCCGCGTCACAGACACTGCGAGAGGCACAGGCACACTTGTGAAAAGCGACACGACGTCGAAGGAGACAAGGCTCTCGTCGTCCCGCAGTTCGAGGCCCGATGTGAGCTCGATGAAGTGTCCAGAATTTTGGACGTACGTGTCGGTCTTCCCGGTTAAAGGCGACAGCAGTCGGTGGAGATGGTTGGACAACGCACGTAACGGAGACGTGGTGAAATCCACTATGGGTCGGAGGGGGACATCTGGCTTGTGCACCTTCGGCAGGCCATAAAAGGCCGGCGCTGAACCGTTCCGGCAAATGAGACCCAAGTAAAGGCCTCGGGACTCGGGATACCCATCAAAAATCGTAGAGAGCATTTTGTTTAGACTTGCCTGAATCTTGGCAGTCGGGTCCTTTGGCAGAATCATGTATGCGTCGGTGTTGAGAAGCTGAAGCGCCTTCTCATCGTAGTCCGCGCGGTCGAGTAGCACGGTTGCGTTCCCCTTGTCGGCAGGGAGGACGACGATGCTCTTGTCTTCTCTCAAGTTCTGAATGGCTGCTTTCTCTTCCGGCGTGTAATTTAACTGCTCCCGTTGGTGCGCCTTGGACAGCACGCCGATGGCCTTGAGGCGAGCTTCTTCACGGATGCAGGGGTCTAACTCACGCAGGCCATATTCGACAGCAGCTGCCATCGAAGCAATAGGCGGCGTTGTTGTGGTTAGGTTGAACTTCTTTCCCTTTGCCAGAACACGCGTCTCGGTCTCAGAGAGCACTCTCGAAGACAGATTCTTCACGAACCTCTTGTTGGTCTCTTGGGAGACGGCGGGACGCAATTGGAGAGATACGAGCTTCTTCTGGTGGTCCGAACTCCTTCTCTCAGCGGCCGACGTGGCAGCAGATCTGGCAAAGTCGTCGATGGCAGGAAAATGCTCCGGAGCACGGTATTCCAGTTGTCTCCGCAAAAAGAAGAGATCCAAGTCCCTTTTCCTGAGAGTTTCCCGGCATTCTTGAATCCTGGAGTCGAGCAGACGACGTTCGGCCTGTTCGACGATCCTGTGACCCTCGGTGCTGTGGACCAGGCGCTTCAGGCGGAGACTCTTCGGGATTAGCCGCAGTTCCTTGCAAGTCTTGTTGAACGTGAGGTGGGTTTTGACGGTAGAGATGGAGTTGTAGAGGTGAACATATCGCTTGGCAAGCCGCACCACCACAGGACCGTAGTCATTGCAAAGAGACTTAAATGTAAACATTTTCGACGGACATCCGTCTGGTTAGGAATGATTAATAAATCTTCAACTTAGAAACTCTAACCAAGCTTTATTAAAAAGCAAAAATCCCGACGTTTCGGAACCAACTCGGTCCCTTGATCACGGGTGACTGTTTTTGTCCCGCGGAACGGCCTGCCCACGAACCCGAACACCCCCGGGTGTTTTCCGGATTATCCCTCTTAACCCCGAAACGTAGCTGCTGGGAAGGGTCCCCGTCGACCGGTTTATGTTGCCACGTGTGCATTGAATGTGCCACGACTCCAACAGGAGGCGCCTCCGCCAGTTTTTCTCCGTTCCGAGGATGGAGCTGTTGTCAAGGTCGATGGAGTGGTTCGTCTTCTCGACGTGTTCGGCCAGCGCGCTTCCCTCCACATTTTTCTTCGCGATGTCGTAGCGGTGGCGCCGCAGGCGCTCTGGATAGTTTTTCGTTTCCCCAACGTACGACGCGGGGCAGTCACCGCAGGGAATTTTATAAACCAGTCCCTGTGCCCTCTCCCTCGGGGGGCGATCCTTTGGCAGGGGGAGAAGGCCGCCGATGGTCGAGACTGGCTTGTGCGATACCGCTATGCCGTACTGTCGCAGTACTCGGGCGAGAACCTCGCTTGTGCCCTTGATGTAGGGTACACACACGCGGGTGGAGGGAGGGGGGGCGTCTTGGGTTGAAGGGGTGCGTCGAATTTTTTTGATCGTGCTTTTTACAAATCCAGCTGGGTAGCCATTCTTCCGCAGGTCTTGTTTTATCGTTTCGATCTCTTTTCGAAGGGTCTCCTCTGATGTGCAGACCGTGATCGCCCGTCTGACGAGTGCCGAAGCCACGGAAGACTTATGTGTCCTAGGGTGGCTTGAGGAAAAGTCCAGGTATCGGCCTGTGTGTGTCGGCTTCCTATACACACGGAAGTCCAGGTGGCCGGACTTTCTCACTGCACAGACGTCTAGGAAAGGGAGACAGCCATCTGATTCGTGCTCAATCGTGAATTGAATCGCTGGCTCGATGGAGTTGAGACGTGTGTGGAGACGGTCGATCTCACTGGTCTTTACAACACAAAAGCAGTCATCTACATACCGCAGGAAACACACGGGTGCTGGGGAGAAAGTGTCCAGGGCTTTTCTCTCGATCGCCTCCATTACAAGGTTTGCCACAGTTACGGAGACCGCAGCACCCATAGCCGTACCACTGGTTTGTCTGTAGAAGCGGCCAGCCAGTAATTAACACTCGTAGTACTTAGCATAAAAGTTTTCAGCAATGCCCGTTTTAACGCACGGAAAAAAAAAGATAATTCCATTGGTGTCTACATATAGGCAAAAGCAAAAAAGTAAAACATCCTGCATAAATTGCTTTTTTTTTTTTTTTTTTTTTCTTTGATCCCAACACTGCGTTGCAGCTACTGCACTATAAAAAAAAAAAAGCGAGACTCGCTTGAATGTGGTATTTTCGGGACTTCGCTTTGTTGAACGAGCAAGAACGTTCTTTCGTTTTGGACAACATAGAAAAGACCATTAATTCTTTCAAATTCGCAGCACAACGGGTGACACGGACAACACGCAGAAGGTAATTCAGGTGCGGGAGAAAAGGAAGCGGATTATCGTATTATAGTTGGTGCCGAGTCCCACCAGTGGAATCTGCATTGGGGACGAAACAGACATTTGTAAAGAAAAGCAAAACATAACACAAAATACAATATGATTAATGGTGAAAGCATCTACTAAGTGGTTTGAGCATGTCATTGTGCTCGCCGGTACCTTTTTGCGCTGTTGTTATCTCGTTACTACTTTTCCAGTTGTTTCTCTTTTGGACAACATGCAGTCGCGTATGTTGTGTCAATGCTGGGAGAACAATAACAAACCAGTGTACCACCTCCGAAAGCAAGCGATCAGGTCGTACCGCTACGGCCTGAACAATGTAAACAAACCCGACATCTTCACATTCTGGGCATCACGTGACATTCATGTGCTGCTCAATGACGCTCCCTAAGGTAGTTCTCACCGCGAATTGTCGAAATGACGACCACGTTCTGGCCACACAATGAAGACACCAGTTTTTTTTTTTTTTTTGCTCGAAAATTTAATGTTTGGTTTATTTAAAAGGAATAAACGGAATTTCATTACATCACTCTGGATTCAAAGGCAGTGCCACCCTGCGGATGTATGGCGACAAGCTGCCTGCACGCGAGGCGTCAAACTTGGCCGAACCGGATTTTCTTTCTCTCTCTCGGCCTGTTCGACTCCTGCGGGGAGGGGCAACTGAAATGGCCAGGTTTTAATGCGTCGACGCCACCAAGTGGCAAAGCTCCCTACTTAGACAGGGCTCGGGGTTCGCACGCACGCGGCTCAAAACCAAACTTCCGTATAGCGGCGCCGCTTTTAAAGGCCGATGTACACTTTATGCTTTCCAGTCTTGCCTGCCTCCTCCTTTCCTACATCCTCTCCACTTTTTACCTTGCTCCAACTTGGCTCCCCTTTGCAGCTTAGGAGAGAGGAGCGATAAGAGGATTACCTTCCCTGCAGAAAACCGAGGTTAGTACGTCGGCCTTTAAGCTCAAAGTGGTGTAACGACATTCGGTTTATTCCTTTCAAATAATGTTTCGGAGTCTTTTTGAGCAGAAAATTGGCATCTCTGTGGTGTGGCCAGACCGTAGTTGACATTTAGACGTTAGAGTAGGCGCTAGAAATTTGTTGCAGTATACCGTTTAATATAATAATCTCGAAGGAAAGGTCTCGTGCATTTCGGCTGCTTCAGAACAGTGGGGCTGGGACGTGGACATCGGTCTCAACAAAAGCATATTGCCAACTGCGATTTAATATACACAAAGAAGCAGTAAAATAATGCATCTGGTGGTCTGTATTTAGTGTTTCTCTAGCTTGATTTTGTACAAAAATGCCAACGTTGCGTGTCGTCTAAAATTAAACAAAGTCCATGGGCCCTCAAACAACTTAAAACTCATCGTGGCAAAACCAACATGCCTAACCTATCGTCTGCTTTTCTTTTTTTCCGCTTTTCCGTCATTCTTTTTCTTATTCTTTCTCCAGGGACCACCGATATCTGGGCTTACGATTTGCTGCGTTCTGCTCTTGTCTTTAACCCCCCCCCCCCCCCCCCCCCCCTCCCCAATTAACAAAGACACGCTTTTTTCAACTTTGAAACCCTCCTGCCACGACACCCTCGAGCGCCATGGGGTAATCTTTGATTAAAGGAAGCGTAATCGGCGCCGTACGTCTTCACCAACGACCGTCAAAGGGCTAAGGAGTCTGTGGGGCTCCCTGCAGGCAACCTGCGCAGCCACGTGCGCAGCAAGCACCCTGCAGACGGAGGGGCCAAGCGGGAGGCTCGCCAGGCTGCCCGCTGCCAGGCTTCCCTGCGCTGCACCCTCTGCCCTGAGACCTTCGTGCGGGAGGACTCGCTGCGGTCGCACTGGCGTCTTCACCGGGACGGCGTCCTGCCAACCACTACGGCGAGCGAGCAAGCGCCGCCGGAGCATCCTGTGCGTTGCGCACCTTGCGCCCCATTCGTTTTTGTTTGTAGCGACCGTTCGACCATCCCCGAGTAAAGTGCCCTTACGGTTTAAACACTACCTTGAAAAATTTTAACGATCTCTCAATGCGTTACAATGCGCCACAATGCTACTAGTGTGCCCATAATAGGTCCAAAGGTTTCTGTGCTGCCTTGTTATGCCAAAGCTGAAACTGGCGAGGGTAACTTACTACGAGTAGAAGATGGACGAGTGTTCCTCGTGATTGAAAAGTTTTAGAAGGCCCGAGGCACCGTGCGCAAGGTGGGCTCAACGGCCTTTTGAAGAGACTGCATAAATGGGCTTCTTCATAGGTTGATACGTAATTTCGCGCAAAGAGGGGTGGACTTATCGTTTCGCCACCCTAGGAGACAAAATGCCCTGCCCCCTCAGGTTATAAGAAACATATGCGTGTACACATTTCTGCACCCCAGTTTCTGGGGGAATTTCGGAGGAGGTTACCAATATCGTCAGTTCCGCAACATATTGTGCGAGCTCAAAGTGACAACGGTCTTCGCTGCTGCTGGGGGGCGGCAAGTGCGGAAGTTTAGATTGCAAGGAGTGTAAGGCAGCTGAACTGGCTCTCCGTCACCCCAAAAAGCATTAGCAGTTGCTAGGTTTTACGAGATCACAAGTTTTCTCATTCTGGTTCCCCGCAAAAAAGTTATGAATGAGGTTCTACCGTAGTTTCATAGGTTGAACGAGGTATGAAAGAGGTTCTATCATAGTCTACCATAGCGCCCTGTCCTGTTGTCTTTCTGTTTCTGTGTGTATATTTCGGCGCTATTCCACCGTAGATATGTACCAACTGGCCCATATAAGTACCTTGCTCTACCATAGTTTCGCTTTTAATTAATAAATGTGCCAATAGAAACCACGACTGTCGTAAATCATAGCACAACACGTTTGGAAACTGATTCAGGCAGTTTCCTCGACGAGCCAACGTGTTATCGAGTCCGCATAGGCCGTGTTCCAAATTTTACTTGAAAGAATCTGAGTTATACCCTCACCGTCTGTTAATATTTAATGTCGGTTTCGTCGACTGATATCGGGCGACGGGCGGCGACGACACGGCTGACGCTAGGGGCATTTCGATGGAACGCAAGTACCCGGGTTTCCGAAGCAAACGTTTCCCGTCACTCCATCAGGCAAACACCGGAGCGAGCCCCGTCGTCGCCGCCACCGAGGAGGCCCCGCCGCAGCCTCCGCGTGCGGAGGAGGTTCCCGCTGCGCAGGAGGCGGTGACGGCTGAGGGCGCCACCCTGGAGTGCCTGCTCTCGGAGCCCGCCCGGATGACGCTGGAGTTGCTGTCGGACAAGCAGCTGCTCCTGCTCACGGGGGTTGGGCAGGACGCTGGAGGCCCCCTGCTGCTCACGCCCCTGCAGCCGGCGGACCTCGCGCTGCTCACCTCCCCGGAGATGGAGGGCTGAGGCACTCTCCGGACCACAGTGCCTGGAACGAGCCTCGGGCCGGCGCGTTTGGAGTCCCCGTATTACCCACGTAACACAAAGAAGCAATTGCGTCGTGCGTGTGTTTGAGCGGGGGGAAGTCAGACGGCCGGCACTATGGGTACCTGACAGACTCATACAGTACTCATTACAAGTAATCAAGCTACTTTCGATGAATTACTTTTTGGAGCTGTTTTGTAATCGTTTGACTACGTTAATAAGGAAGTGATTGCAGGAGTAATCCGATTACCTTTGGAATTACTAAAATATCTCGTAGTCGTTACTATTTTTCCCTCCCCTTTCTAATGGCACCCTTTGTTTGTACAAATTTTCTACCTAGAAATCCTCTGACCAAGTCTCTGACTGGAAGATGGTATACCATCATTAGCGGATTAACAAGATGAGTAGGTTATAATTGGGTAATTGTAATCCAATAGCAGACAATGTGAAAGAGCCTTTTCCAAACCGGCGGAAAAATTGTTGTTTTGAAAATCTGAAGTAATCAGAAAAGTGACGGTTACTTTCTAGACTTTTCTTCTCGAGTAATCTAATTAAGCACTCAATAACTGAGTGCAGTTGTTGTTGTAATCGATTACTTTTGTCAAGCACTGTGTGCAAAACTGACATCTAATGACTCCGCCGTAGATGAGAAATTTCCTCTACGGTGGACAAAAACCGCCAGCCTGGAACCCTAAGGTGCACCACACAGCAGCAACGGATGACCGCACGCCGGTACGACGCGCGTCCAGATCGGAGTGGGCAAAGGGGAGGGTGCCGAACCCATGCCGGGCTCTGGAGCACAAGTTCTCGCTCCACGTGCTTCGAGCCGCGGGGCGCTGGCGCACTCGGCCACCGATCCCCCTTCCCCCGCCACGGAAGCTGCGCCGAAGCGACATGAAGTTGCGTCCCTAGTGGTTAGTCGTGGAAGTTCCGGCATACAACAAGGGCGAGTGTCACCGTCGTCATGACATCTCGACTCGTGTCTGCCGAAGCTCTCGTGCAGCTTCGAGTTGAAGAGCAGTTCATGCCAGAGCGGGTGCCTGCTGCATCCACTTCTGCTGTTGTGCCACCACCGGGATCACAGCGGGCGAGAGAGCGGCACGAGTGCAACATCCTTGGGCGGAGATTGGGGGACTAAAGATGGGGACGTGGTGAACGCCCTGGTCGGGGAAACATTCCGGGCACTGTACCCCGACAAGCTGCTGCCTTGGATGAAACGTTTCTCTGGACCGAGTGCCTTGAAGACTCCTTGCGTCGAACTCTCAAAGTCCTTCCACATTACTCCCAAAGGCCTGTTTGTGCAAGGTCAGAAACAAAGAAAGTTTTGTACTAGGTGGCACGTACGTATGCAAACTCCTTAAAAAAGGGTCGTAAAAAAAAATTAAAATTTCTCGTTAAAATTTTTTTTTTTTTTGCCTCTTTAGCCATTAGGCACGCGATTTTCGAGGGATTTTGGCAAGCTGTCTTGTCAATATTTTGCTATTCACCTTTCATGAGCATGTTGTCCAAGCACCCCTACTCTATGAGATTATAGGCAAGCACGTAGAGTGCACAAAACAATTTATTTTGTGTTTGAATAAAAAGATTTAAGGGACAGAGTCACCCTGTGAGTTGTACACCTTTTTGTATCGAGGTGGCTCGTGTGGTTGGTCACGATCAGTATCTATTTCATACATGCGAGTCTTGGTTTGGTTTCGGTTTCAAACCCACGGGGTTGAGCAGGTAAGTATTGTCTAAAGAAGACAAAGCCGGCAAGCCTTAGTTTTTCTTTTAATGCGTGGGAGACACCCAACCGAGTAATTTTAGAGCGCAGCTCTTAGGCGCTCGTTTCTGGCTTGAGCGGCGTCGGCGTAACCAAGGTCACGTGACCCCCCAGGTCATGTGACCCCCAGGTCATGTGACCCCCCAAGGTAACGTGACCCCGAGGTCACGTGCCCCCCCCCCCCCCCTCCCCCCCCCTGAGGTCACGTGACCCCCTCCCCCCGAGGTCAGGTGACCCCCCCGGAGCATATTAAAGAATGAGGGGATGAGGAGGAGGAGGCATCTACCCTCCCCACAGTGCCCTTCCCTCCTCCTCCTCAAGAGCTGCACTCCAATTCGGCGTTACAGCTTGTAAACGGCTTTCACTTTTTAGAGCGCAGCTCTTAAGTGCCCGTTTCCGGCTTGAGCAGCGTCGGCGTAACCAAGGTCACATGACCCCCCAGGTCATGTGACCCCTCCCAAAGTCACGTGACCCCCCGAGGCCACGTGACCCCCTCCCCCCGAGGTCAGGTGACTCCCTCCCCCCGAGGTCAGGTGACTCCCCCCAGAGCATATTAAAGAATGAGGAGAAGGAGGAGGAGAGGTCTACCCTCCCCTCAGTACCCTTCACTCCTCCTCCTCAAGAGCTGCGCTCCAATTCGGCATTACAGGGAGTTGTAAACGGCTTTCACTTTTTTTTTAGAGCGCAGCTCTTAGGCGGCCGTTTCCGGCTTGAGCGGCGTCGCCGTTGGCGTAACCGTGCGGTGCATTATGGGTAAATTTCCCCGCTAAATCTAGCGGAAAAATTTCCCCGCTAAATTTAGCTGAAAAATTCCTCCGCTAAATTTAGCAAAAAAATTTCCCCGCTAAATCTAGCGAAAAAATTTCCCCGCTAAATCTAGCGAAAAAATTTCCCCGCTAAATCTAGCGGAAAAATTTCCCCGCTAAATCTAGCGGGGAAATTTTGGTCACGTGACCGGGGGGGGGGGTCACGTGACCTGGGGAGTCGCGTGACCCCTCCCCCTAGGTCGCGTGACCCCCTCCCGAGGTCACGTGACCTCGGAGAGGGGTCACGTGACCCTTTCCCCTATGTCACGTGACCCCCCCCCCCCCCCGAGAGGGTACCTCGGTACCCTTCCCTCCTAATCCTCAAGAGCTGCGCTCCAATTCGGCGTTACAGGGAGTTGTAAACGGCTTTCACTTTTTTTATCTAGATTTTACAATTTGTGTTGTTAATCATGTTTCTTAAGTTCAAATGGCCGTGGTTGATGATGCCACCACCTCTTCGTCATGTTGCTCACAACTCGAGCCATGCCAGATCTCTGAAGACAGATAATTGGTGCAGGCCTGCTACCTTTCTCCGGCTCAGTGTTCAGGTTTCTTTGTATTAGTAGGCAAGGCATCGGTATTCTCGTAAACTGAGCCGCCAACTTTGGTCGCTCTTTTGGATTTCTGTTCATGTGCTCTTGGAGCGAGCATGCCAACAGTCAATGTTGAAATTCTTGGCGCCCTCTCTGAGGTTGTCGGGCTGAAAATGTAAGCAAGCAGACGGTAAGGCTCGTTTGTGACTGCCGACTTGCTGCTTGTTGCATCTGATTTGTGCAACAATGTAGAACTGCGTTCTACATTATTTTAGAACTATGCATAGCTTGCCGGTAGATATGGTGCCCTCTAAAGATTGAATGAAAGCCTTGTACCCACATCTTAGTTATAGGAGTCTGTTTCCAGCTCATTCATGTTTCAATATTATCTACTCCATGGTCCTGTCTTTCAGACACGCTTCGCAATAATTCTATGCAGCGAGCAAGTCGAGCAAATTCTCTCTTTGCACGTGAGAGGAGGCACAAATGAGGTGAGAGAGATTGGTTCTATGCTTGACCTGGCTCCACCCCAGCAGTCAAAATTCCTTAACCATGAGCTCTTTGTTTAATGTAGCACCTCTGGTAGTTCTTGGTCAACTGAAACAGCGAAGTATTTCCTCTGCTCTGTCCTAAGGGCCAAATCCTCGTTCGTAAAGAACCAAACAGCCCCAGAAAAGATTGGACAGTCATTGCCTTCTCTAGCAACCGACGCCACCACAGTGCTGTAGTTGCCAGCACTTCCCCAGAGCAATCCTTCAATGAGAGCTTGGCTTTGTACACTCCATTTCATTTTAACTGTAAGCGTGGCAGAAGCTACAAGAGCGAGCTTTCGGGGTCGTACCCAGGGGGGAGGTTTCAATGTTCGAAGCCCCCCCCCCCCCCCCCCCCCCCTTTCACTGTCGGCTGGGGAAGAGAGGAGAGATGGGGCGCATTTCGAAAGAGGCCCGGGGTGGTATCGATTTCACTATAGTCACTGGATCGGGAGACCCATTGAGGAACTCGTTGGAGTTCTAGGAATGCTGTTAGGGGTGCATGTGTGCTTGTATATACAGTGCAGCACTCTTACTATGCGGAGGGCAAGTTCGTCTGCTTCTTGCGCAGGGGGTAGCGGTGACGTCAGAACGCCGAGATCTGATTGGCTGATCGCTACCCCCTATCTGAGCGTCGTCTGCTCCTTTGCAACGTCGTCTGCGTCTGTCTTACCTTTCCTGCGACTTTCGGAAGTGCAGAGGCCAGATTCACGAAACGATCTTACGCCAAAAATGTGCGTAAGACAAAACTTAAGAACAAATTCGTATTCACGAAACGAAATTTTCGTAAGTTTTGCGCAGGTTACGACGAAATCCTACGACAGCTCCGAAGCTGTCTTACGCACTTCTTACGATCAAATCAGCATGGCCGACAGCGTCGCGGTCGCGACGACCCACGGACGTTTATTTTTCTATGTACGCTTCACACGCGTCCCGACTTCAAGCAGCAAGAAAAAAGTAAAAAGTACTTGAAACAGACCACAACGAACAAGAACGCTGGATCCACAAACACCCGGGAAAAGCTCCAACGGCCACGATTCCATCGAACGCGACCAAGCGAACACGGCAGTTAGGCCTAGCAGGCACTCCGCGACTAGGCGACCGTTTGCCCACGACCGGCTGGCGTGCTGAACGGAATATGCCCGCGCGACCCTTGTGAACCCTTCCCGTATTATACTTTGATCGCTGACCTCAATTTTAGACTGAGGGGTCAATTTCTTCCTCTTGTTATCTCCTTGTTTCCCGAGGCAACGGTGACTCTCGCCGGTGAAAAAGCGGAGAATCTCCGGCAGACGCAGGAAAGGTAAAGCAGCCATCGCTTGGACTAGCAGACGACGTTAACTGCGCCAACCCGCCGACGCCGTTAAAGAATGATGGGTCTCGCCGCACACGAAAGGAGGGAAAAAGTATTTGGGAGGGAACTTGGGGACACTAACACCCTCACTCTCGGTTCTTAGCAAACAAACCTCGGCGCCTCGGCACACCTCGCCAGTGAGTCCTTTGACTTATTTCCTTGATGCGCGTCTGCTAGTTGTTAACAAAAACAACGTACCGCTCGAGTTATTTCGTCTGCCCACTCTGAAAGGCGAAGTCGAGCTCGCTCGTAAAGACCTGCACTTCCGAAATTCGCAGGAAAGGTAAGACAGACGCAGACGACGTTGCGAGCAGACGACGTTGCAAAGGAGCAGACGACGCTCAGATAGGGGGTCGCGATCAGCCAATCAGGGCTCGGCGTTCTGACGTCACCGCTACTTCCTTTCTCATGCGCAGAAGACGAAAATGAGCCCACTTGCGAGGCGTATTAGTTGATAAGGATAGATAGCTGGGCGAGTTGGTGTGTGTTCATGTTGAAAAACAGTGCGACTGGGACGAGGACACAAAGAGACGAACACAACAGCGCTGTGTCTTGTGTTCTCTTCGTCTCGTTGTGTCCTCGTCCCAGTCGCGCTGTTTTTCAACATTGCTATTAGTGCTAACCAGAGCCACATGAATTCCAGCACGTCTTCTCCGTACCCCAAAAACCGCAACACATCCGGCCACAACCGGCCTTTTCAAAACCACTCCGATAGTGCCCTCCTGTTTTCCCCTCTCAGCCAAGTGCCTGGGTGCCATCCCCCTCGGCAGAGGATCCCCGGACGCCTCGCTTCCGCATCCTCGTACCACGCTCCGTTTCATTGCATAATGGTCCATAGTGGATGCTAGAGGCCGTCTTCGCCAATTGAGCGCTGAGAGAGAATCGCATGACCTTGAGCTTCGCATAGCACACCGCAGAAGTAAGGTGACACACACTCAGAGCTGGATTGGCTGGAATGGCTCGTTACGCCCTCTGCGGTCCATTATAAGGTGACACAGAGGAGATGTTTGCTCGAGCAATAAACACATACGTTTGAGGGAAGCCCGTGTCGGTTCTCTGTTCGTTAGTTGACTTCCCAGACCACCGCGAGGGTGCGACGCCTGAGAGGCTTTGAGGGGCCCTCCGGGGGTATGGGGCGTTTGGCGCGCAAGAGCGTGGTGAAAAGTGGATGGAAAGAGAATGACGAAGATTCTTTCAGAGCTGTGTCTATAGTGGCAGAAGTTCTGAGTGTCACCGGACCCTGCGGAGGATGCGCAGAACTGTGGTTAGGGAGCTGGGTCAAGTATGTCTGTACATACTTGTCTTACTCTCTTACCCCCGATTCCCTCTCACTGAAATGAAGTTTTACTGGGGCGGAGTTTGGGCAAATAAATTTTGTTGTAAACTGAAAGCGTGTGTCTGTCTGTTGTAGTCCCCCTATGTTATTCTTCCTGCCGCATCTCGGAGACCCCTGTTCTTACTTCATCCCTTTTCTCCCTGTTTCCTTTTCTTCCTGATTGTTCCCCACAGAGCCCCCAAGACGCCCCCACCACTAACCTTGTCAGCGCATGCAACGATGTGCATGTGTCGAGTGACACGCTGCAGGCTGACCGCCTGATGTGCAGCCAGTGTGCTAGACCATTTTTCTTGTTCTCTGGCCTCCTCTTCTTGCCTCGTCTTGGTCTAGCGAGGCAGCAACCCTATATGGTGCGGGAGAGAACGAGGCTCTTAATCAGTCTAGACCAAGTCTGTACTTTGCTAATTCTGTACTTTGCAAAGAGTTTTATAGAAATTTATAAATTCTATTTAGGTTTAATATATTTATAAATTATATAACGTGAGAAGATCATGAAAAGGCACAATGCAAGAGTAAAGCAAACAAACATTTCGTCTTCAAGAAGAAAGCCAGATCTAGCCCTGTTGAGAGTGACGAAGAGCTACAGACAGAAAAAGCAGTGAGTGATGCACCCTCTCCCTCTGAGGAACCTAAAACCCAACCATGTAAGGATAATCATATTGAGTTGTTGGTGTTTGAAGACCAAGTTTTTTCGGTTACGACTGACTTGGAACGAAGCCCAGCCAGCGATGACCATGAAGACCTCATTCAAGTGGCAAGTACGTAGTTGCGACTTGAGTGCATCTGTGGCTGACTTCCCTTCTGCAACTTATGTCGAAGAAAGCAAAGGCGCCGACGACCTTCAACCCCAGAGAGTTGTGAAAGGAAGTGAATTGTGTGCTTTTCCTGGACACTCGAGCACTTCTGAAGCCAACGAATGTGTGCTAATGAGGCGAGACACAAACGAGGAAGGTGATGCAGCCTCCACATGCTCCGATTCACGCACCTCAGGTGCAATCACTGTTAATCCTCTCGGTCTAGGACTTTTTGTCTGGAAAAGTGCATGAAACAGTTTTGAAGGAGAAGTTGATGCGAAATCCCTGGACTCCTCCTGGTAACTACAACTATCCAGCCACAACAAAACAAAACCTCGCTGGGTGGCTAGTTAGTTACCCAAGGCTCATTTATTCAGAGCACTTAGAAGGAGCACTATGCAAGTATTGTGTAGTGTTTGTGCATGAATGTGCTGGCAAAGGGGAACACCAACACTTAGGTTTCTTTGTAACAAACACCTTTGTAAATTACAAGAACGCTATGGAGGCCTTCAAAAGCCACGCTGCATGCGGTTACCACCTGAAGTCCACATCGCTGGCGGAGAGCTTTTTGGCAATCCAGTCGGGCGCTCACTGTGACATTGTAAGTCAACTTGATCAAGGTGTGAGAAAGCAGGCTGAAGAGAACCGCAAGAATCTGCTCCCAATTAAAGAGACTGTGATTTTCTGTGGTAGGCAGGAGCTGTCGCTTCGCAGCACGGATGATTGTGGACCTCTCGATTTATCTCAAGTGCTTGTCAAAAATGAAGGAAATTTCTGTGTTTCCTTAGGATGAGATCTACGTGTGGGGATGCTTCCCTGAAGAAGCGTATTGAAACGTCTGCAGCCAACGCCATTTACACCAGCCCAAAAATTCAGAACGAATTAATCACACTTTTTGGCAAAATCATTAAAAAAAAATTGTGGGCAGAGTGAACGCGTCAGAATGCTACTCAGTTATTGCTGACAAAGCAACGGACATACCCCGTGCTGACCAACTATCACTGTGTGCAAGATGCAATGTGTGCCAGATGCAACATGCAATATTAAGAGAGAGTTTTGTGGACTTCATTGCGGTCTACGACCTTGCCAGTAAGGCGCTAGCAGGTAGTATTCTGAGTAGTCCCCAGTGACATGGCTTTAACGTAGATATGCTTTGTGGGCAGGGATACGATGGCGCGGGTTCCATGAGCGGCCATCTGAATGGGGTTCAGGCTGTCATCCATGAAACAGTTCCAAGGGCCTTATACGCACTGTAGCGCTCACTCCTTGAACCTCTTGGTTGCTCCATTCATGCAAACTTCTTAGTATTCGAAACTGCCCGGGAACAGTGTCTTCCATCTGTACATAAGTGAGGGCTTCTCTGCAGAAGACAAACCAGCTACAAAATAAGGTATTACATGAAACACAAAAAAAAAAAAAAAAATCGTCCTCTCTGCTAAACAAGATGGGTAGAGAGCCACGATGCACTTCAGTGTTTTCTGGAACTATACACGCCTATCATTCGGCTTTTGGGAGATTTGGAGGAAGGCATGCATTCTGATGCATCGTTGATAAGCTGCTTAGTGCAATCACAAAGCCCGATTTTGTGGCTTCGCTTCAGGTGGCTAGCTAGCTATTTTCCTTCACTCTGCCACTTTGCAAGTTTCTGCAAAAAATCGACTGTGACTTGTCACAGGTATGTGATTACATTGATGACATTATCAACATCCTCTCCTGTCCATATCTCCATACACTCGACACTCGTAGAAAAAACTTACAGCTCTCTTTTATGCACAGACTATACTACAACCCATGGTAACCAAAAACATTTCTTTTCCCGGCTCATCATATTTCCCCTCTCCTAGATCATGTAAAGTCGAACCCATTTTCTCTAGAACTAACGCCTACAAATACTCACCTCTCCCTCTATGCATTTCTGAATGGAATAGCATGCCCTCAAACCTGGCGACGATACGTGACCATAACCATTTTACGCAGGAGCTTGTTAAGTTGTTTGAGTAATCTCTGTATAATGATGCTTTCTCATTGTTCTCATTCAATGTTTTTCCCAATTTTTGTGAATTTGATGTACCCCCCTTATGTAATGCCTCACATAGAGGCCTTTAAAGTAATAAAATGAAATGAAATGAAAAAGGAAGGAATTCAGAAACAGAATTTAAGAAGATTTTTGGGCAGTCGTGCTCTCTGTTGCATGATGTAAATGTGGAGATGACACTACCATGTATTGTTGGGAGGCAAAGCCAGAGGAGCAATGCGCCTTCTGTTACTCGCGGAGAGCGATTATCGGAGAATATGTATTTATACCTTTGTTGGCAGGCTTGGAAAACCAATTGAAAGAACGTTTTGAGAGCCATAAAAAAGTTGTGGTTGGGCTTCACATGCTGCTCCCGAAGTTCTGCGCGTCAGCCAGTCTTTCTGGTATTCACGAAGCTGTTGAGTTTTATTTTAGCGACATTGCGTCGTCTCCCATGCTCACCGTAGAATTAGCGCTATGGATGAGCAAATGTTCCAGAATCGTTGAGGCAGACCCGGCCTGCGCTTTGCAAGCACTAAGCATTTGCAACTCCGAGTTTTTCCCGAATATACAGGGTTACAATATACAATATACAAATGAAAATTTACACGGTCTTTTTTACCGCAAAAATAAACTAGGCATCGCCGAACGCTCATTTTCCGCCCAAAGGTAAAGCTAGAGGTCACAACCAGATGCCGAAGTTTCAGCCTGATCCGATAACTTAATCAAAAGTTATAAGTGATTTTCTGAAAATTTTAATGGGAAAATGGACCCCATTTTCGCTCGTTTTCGGTTTCTGGTGCCATAGAGCCCCATGTGTTTGAAAACTCCGTCGGCCGCCATTTTTCCATTGAAATTTTCAGAAAATCATTTATAACTTTTGATTAAGTTATCGGATCGGGTTAAAACTTTGGCATCTGGTTGTGCACCTCCAGCTCTACATTTGGGCGGAGAATGAGCGTTCGGCGACGCCTAGTTTATTTTTGCGGTAAAAAAGACCGTGTAAATTTTCTTTTGTGACACCCTGTATATATTGTCTGCTCTGCGTCCTAGCAACTCTTCCCGTGTCAACTTCAACACCAGAATGAACGTTTTGAACAATGAGAAGACTCAAAACTAAGGGTGTCGCGAACCGGCCGCGGTTCAAGTTCGTCGACTTTTTCGAACTTTTAGGGGAAAAATCGACGAACCTTGTATTGAGGTTCGACTCATGTGCGCATGTGCGACAGGTTGGCCTATTGGCTTCGGAGTGGATGGTAATGGCTAAGAGATGAATTAAGTGCAGTGCTGATTGGCTTTTTTAGTTAATACAGTACTAAAAATTAAGTTATTAACTTATTCAGTGATTAGAATTAGTTTCTTTTAATTGCAGCTGTTCACAAAATAAAATAACCCTTTGCGTAAAAAAAAAGTGAAAGTCGTTTACAAATCCCTGTAACGCCGAATTGGAGCGCAGCTCTTCAGGAGGAGTAGGGAAGGGTACTGAGGGGGGTCACGTCACCTGCTGGTAGTCACGTGACCCCGGGGGGGTCACGTGACCTCGGGGGAGGGGGGTCACATGACCTCGGGGGTCACGTGACCCCCCCCCCCCCCCCCCCCCCCCGGTTACACCGACGCCGACGCCGCTCAGGCTGGAAACGGGCCCCTAAGAGCTGCGCTCTAAAAATGAAATTCTCCAAACCTTAGACATGCTTGTATCAAAGTCTGGCCACACTGTCCGCAAAGTCCAACGAGGTAGAGGTAGACCTGTGCGCCGGTCAGAAATCGCCGGCGGCGGCGCGCCGGTGTTTGTACCTCCGGCGGCGGCGTGTTGACGGCGCGGGGATCAACGGATCGGCGGCGGCGTGGCGCGGAAGAGGGAAGGGAGGGGAGGGATGTAAATTAGAGTGAGGGGGAGAGAGAAAAGAGTCGTTTGAATTTGGAAAACAAGATGAAAATACCATAAAAAGGAGCACACTTTTTTATTTTATTTTTTTCTGGAGAGCCTTCGCTTTCTGGATATTGCCTTCGCTGTGAAGAGTACATCCGTTAGAAGAATCAGGTACTTCGGCATCTTATTTACCCTCGTTTGTAAGAGAATATGTTGCCGGCTGGCAGCCGCGGCCCAAGATCCTCCGCAAGACGAGGACCGACGACAACAGGTATTTTATCACCGCGTCCCACCTCACCACGCGCTTGTCGCGCGCCCCGTCGATCAAGCACGCGGTACGCCGCAAGCCGTCATCACCGACAACGACAGGGTCCTAACCTCTCGTTCGGCTTCGCGGTACTTCGCCGACAGGCACATTCAGAGCATCCCTGACAGTACTTTACGCTCCCGAAGCTAACGGCTTTGTCGAACGCGCCAACGGAAAAATTCTTTCATGTCTGCGCGAAAGAACGTCAACGGCGACATCAACCATTGGAGCGATTACCTCCAGGCAACCAGCTTTCAAGTGAACCAGCAGCCGTACGCCGGACTCCAGACATCACCGTTCGAACTCCTGTTCAACTTTGTCCCACGCTGACCAATGGAATTTTCCCCGCTTCCCGACGAGGTCGGCGACGTCCGCGCGAACTGCAACGCTGCAAACGCGAACCTCGCTTACCTTCACGGCATGAAGCGTTCCTCCTACGATGCAAAACATCGACCAGCTCCACACAGCGTCAGGGACAGGGTATGGTACACGAACGGCCTTCCTACCTCAAAACTTGGCCTGCTTTTCCACGGACGGTACGTTGTCACTTAATTAAGTCATCACCAACGTGAACAATCAAACCTACACCATTTCCGGGTTTACCCCGCAAGGCACACCGGATTGCCGCCAAGCTCCCGCACGATAGCACTTTTTTTTTTTTTTTTCCACGAACAACTTGCAGTGATTGACGTCGATTTCAACCAACTCGCCTTGCACCGCGGCAGATCCTCCGATTACAAGCGCATCACGCCGACGCCGCCCTCCACGATGGCTAGACGCAGAACGAGAGGATCATGACAACATTAACAAAATGTGCGAGGGCGCAAGGATTTTGAGCTCGGGAGTGTAAGCAAATACGCTGGCGGCAAAGACCCGTAAGGAGAGCCTCCCCGACTCGACCGGATGGGGGCTCGACTTCGACCCCCGATGCTGGATCTCCGCGTGAAAACGAGAAAGGAGGACCCCTAGAAACACGATGTGTCAGGAACAAGCCAGGCGTGTGGATCAAAATAAAATACGTTTGAAAGAAGCCTAAAAACGGGCGCGAATATAGCCCGGCTTGCATCAAATTATTTCACAAAGTTTTCATTAAATCGTTTTGCAGTCTACAAAACCGTTCATTCCGTTTAATTCGTTATAACACTTTAAAAACACAGGCGAGCTGGTGAAGAACTTCCATAGTAACGGGAGACACGGAACGATAAAAATAACGGACAAGACAAGTCTCAAACACAACTTTTATACCCGTTTTCACGTCAAGAACTTTAGTAAAAAGAGTCTGAATCCTCACGAACCATTACTAATTTCCACCTTTATGTGGAGAATTAAGATATATGATGCTGGACTCTAATATATATATATATATATTATCAAGACGTGCATGCACGTTCCAGCGCCAAAATCATCACTTTTTTCTCCGACAACCAAATCTCGTAAGACTTTGCGTCGCGTATACGAACATCTTTGTTTCATGTATGTGCTTTCCCCCTCTGTAATGCTTTTGGGCCCTGAGGGTACTTTATTAAATAAATAAATAAAAAAATGCTCAAAACTTTCTCTTTTTTTTTCTTGAAAAAAAACGGGTATAGTTTACTTGAACAACGAACGCTCTTATATATACGTCAAGAGTCAAAACCCTCACCATCAAAAAATAACTCTTTAAATAAAGGGTATCTTCGACGCAGAGCGCACAGACGGCAATACATTTTACGAGGGGCTTGATAATGGAGCGATGTAACTTATTAAATAGCTGAAGTACGTATCAAAGACCACAGAAAGAAAACACTTAGGTTTTGCAGTAGGGCCAAGAAAACCCCGATTATTATTATTATTATATTTTTTTTGTAGTCAGTAAAACGTACATTAGCTATTTTAATAAGTTGTACCACACGGCTTTTAAGCCTCTTGTGAAAGTTAGTACTGTCAGATCGACGTCTGAAGTTTTGGGGTGTCTTATATGGGACAAAGGGTGTGAGAATACACCCTTTTTTTAGAGTGTAGTTCACTGAAAGCCGGACACTCAGACAGATCCAAATGATTCATAGTCACACCAACCTGCCGCCCAGATGACCCCGCTCGATGACTGACCAGCCACATACGATAACAGGCAACTCCATCAGAACCCTTACTAATATGATACACGCGTGACGAGATGTCCCTACAGCGTGCAATTCGCTTAACGAGTGCCGATGAAACGATCGTGTCGACAAAACGTGTGTCCGTGAAACGTGTGCCCATGAAAAGTTGTCTGGGATGCGTAATTCCACGAAACGAGTTTCGACGAAATGAGAGGGTCCCGTACACCACTCCTACGTGACAAGTTACATCTGGGTTTTTATGTTTTTTTCTGACACCACTGAGGAGCCCCAGGAAGGGGCTAACCTTTATAATTTGTGCTGAGTTTTGAAACCTAAATTTACACCAAACCTCTTTGCCACTGACATAAAGTTATAAAAGATTGCATGGTAGTAAGGCACACACACAACATTCTTCACAACCGCCTTTTCAACGGGAGCCGGATTAAACCTTCAGCACCTTGAGCACAGCTCTAACAATTACATCGTGGTGATGGCCCGCTTCCAAACGACGCATCTTTTGCAACTCAACTGCCTCACCAACCCAAAACATACGGGATTGTTTATAGGCGTAATCCATCGCAGACGCAATTACACCACTCGTAACTATTTTCAAGTGACAGCTGTCAGCTGCCAACAGAGGCTTGGCTGATTCCTTGCCGTACCCAGCACAGGCCCTTTTCCGTGTGCAGAAGTAGGTCTATAAATACTTAATTCGACTGTTGCGATGGCAGGGCTGTGCGGTCCAATCGACAAGGACCGCACAACCATGTCAACGTAAACATAAGTCTCGTTTAAAAAAAAATAAAAAAATCTCGGACAACACTGGAGCAATTCACGACCGGATACACACACCCTAGCTGTTTTTGAATAAAAAGAGAACCACCAAAGTCTACGGCAGTGGACTCTAAATGAAACTCCAGAATGCTGATAAAACTATCTACATCAATCCCAGTGGCAGACTGCAACTTTACTAGATTATCATCACACCACCTCCTGACCCTTATTAAGAGCTCCGACTTATCCATAAAGTAGTCCTTGATGCCTACAATTGTCACATCGCACCTTCTTCCATGATGCGGATTCAATATTTCAATGAATTGCTCAGAGCTTTTGAGTGACAATGGACTCTTGCTCCACTTCTGTCAGGCATTTCTGGATAAAAACCGTCAAGACCTTTTGC